GTAGTCAGTGCCCGTCAACGACCACCTGGCCGGCCGGCCGGCGCGCAACTTCCTATCGCGGTGCCGCTTTCTGCGCAAACCATCGAAGTGCCCAGCGATCACACTGGCGAGGGCGTTGGCGCATCTGTGCTGGTGCAGGAGGTGCGCGGTAATACATCTGGGCCCCACACCGACGCAGCAGCAGCATGCGAGAGCGGCGGTGGTGCGGCGGCGGCAGGGCACACGGCGCGGCCCCCAGAGACGGAGGCGATGTGCGCACTTGCGGCCAACATGGTGCTCGATGCCGAGGCTCCGGCGGATGACTTTTTTCGGGAAGTGGAGGGCAGTCCCTACGCGGAAGCGGAAGCAAACGGCGAGCCGGCGACTCCAGCAGAAGCGGACGCCGCATCCTCGGTTGCCGCCTCCTTTCAAGGGGGCCAGGGGGCGGCCCGAAACGATTCTCTTTCACCCGTAGCAGAGAAGGAGGGTGACGGTCTGCGAGCACGTCCGCTGTGGACGCAACGGGTGGTGCGTACAGCTCCCGCTGCGCCCCCGCCACCTCCAGCCGGTGATGCCCCGTCGGCGCTACAAAAAGAGGTGTCGACCATCCTGGCTCAAATGACGGCGGCGCTGTCAGCCAGCTCCCCTCAGGAGAACCACAAAGAGGGCGATCAGCAAAGGGAGGAGGAGGAGAAAGGGGATCCGGCCGCAGCGGCAGAGAACGCGCACCCTGCAGATAATCGCAACACCGGCGATGCTACAGGAGAGAAGCGCAAGAAAGGAAACTCCTCAAAGCACCACCGGGATTCAAAAGACGGCACCTCTCGCCGTCACGGGCACGCACATCACGGAAAGCACCGAAGCCATCGCAGAGCGGCTGATGGGCCACATGAGGGCGAAGCGGAGAACGTGACGGATGACGGAAGCTTTGAGCTTGTTGTGACGTGAGTTTGGCATTTTGAAAACGACTCTTTCTACGATTACCCGAAACTAAATAATGATGGCATTACCTGTACGTCAACATTAGCTGCTTCTGTTTTGTTTCTTCTTCCGGAGAACGGGTGCGCTATTATTTCCCTTCTCTGTCACCTTGCGCTCCTTTAAAATGTTGCAGTTCAGCATTTCTTTTGTTTTCCTTCTCGCTTAGTTGAGGCCGTGGCCGCCGGTGTCTTTCTCGTTCCTTATCCGGAGCGTCACCCCAACGCGTCCAAGCAGGACGAAGAAAAGCACAAACGCAGATCCAACACACAAAAGATGCCAGTTGTCTTGCTGGCGCATCTCTGTGGTCCTGTGAAGTGTGCAGCGAATCGGTATCCAAATCGCACGCAGTCATCGCAACAGCGCTTTCATTTAAGAGGCTTGCCGTCCACCGCTAAAGCAGCAGCATCGAGACGAGTGAAATGAACTTCGTCAAGCGCTCAAGATTTTTTTTCCCTCTTCATTTTTCTTTCCCCCATCTTCTTCGTTTGTTGCGAGAAACGTTGAGGGCTTTCAGCGATAGCGAGGGCGGCAGGTCCAAAGAGATGAAAACAACGTTGACTAACTCGTCCTAATATATATTTTTGTAGATAATTTCACTCTGCTCTTGCCTGCGTGCGGGTATGAAGCCACGCTCATTCCTCAAATGGTATCTAGTCCGTCGCAATCGCAATGGGCATTATAGACTTTTTCATGCGCATCCGGCCCACTAGCAGGCACGCTAGCATTTTATTTCTCGGCTTAGACAACGCAGGCAAGACGAGCATTCTGCGACAGCTAAGCGACGATGACATCACCCACGTCACCAGCACGCAGGGATTTCAAATCAAAAAGCTCATCGCTGGTGGTATCAAACTGGATGTGTGGGACACCGGTGGTCAGCGAGCGTCTCGCTACTACTGGAGACAGTATTTTAAGGAGGCAGACGTGATCATCTACGTGGTAGACGCCGCAGATCCTCGTCGCGTCATGGAAGCTCGACGTGAACTGGAGCACTTGCTCGAGGAGGAGAAGGTGGCCGGTATACCGATGCTGATATTTGCCAACAAGCAGGATCTGATTGGGGCGATGTCAGCGGAGGAGGTCACGATGGCGCTCAACTTGACTGACCTCCGCGACCGACGGTGGCACATTCAAGCGTGCTCCGCGAAAACGGGTGAAGGGCTCGACGAAGGAATCAGCTGGGCTGTGAAGCAGATCAAGAACTAATCGGAACGGAAGGACGCTGGTTTATTGGACCTTCGTTGCTTTCTTCACTTCATCATTCTTTCAGACGCAGTTTTATCCGGTGCGAGACTTTCCCCACCTCTGCATTTTTTCTCACCATATACGTATCACTTTGTACAGTATTGCCTTGCATACTTTTGCCACTTTCATTTTCGCAACGCTATTTCCCTTCTGAGCGTGCGGACTCTCTCCCTCTCAGCAGCCCGTTTATTCATATATTTGTGAGATGAAAAGAGTGCCACGTTGGTAGCGGCAGCGGCTTTTACTCGCTCTGCTCATCGCACAACAAACGAAAAGCAGGAAAAAAACAAACAGGCAGTAGAATTACAAGCAGTCGCTCTAAAAAAAAAACCTCTGCGGGATAATGCGACAAAAGTGAAGTTCGCCCTTTCTTCGCTCCGTCTTCCATTGTGCAAATAATATTAATAATAATAGTAATAAACCGAGCGCCTACCCGAGGACATAGCTGAAACAAAAGAACCCTTTTTTTTGTTCTCCCTTTTGCATGAGGTGCAGAGGAACTCGGTAAAGATACCGGCTGAGCAGAAGAGTACCAGTACACAGGATTGCTTTCTCAAAACCGCTTCAGCTTCGCTGCTCCCCATTCGTCTTTTCACATCGCTACATCACGCGCTGTCCACCATGTTTCTTTTTCCCCTTTAAACACATTTGCTAAATCATTATCAGGCTGCGTTCATTTTCCTTCATTACGATAAGAAAGGAGATAGAAAAAAGAGGTGTTGTTTTCTCGAAAACGGTTGCATCGAAGCCATCCAATTGTCTCCGCTCAAAAACAAAACAAAAAGAGAAGCAAGTTCAGTGCGAGCATTCTGCATTTTCATCACATTTATCCTTGTAACGTCGCACTCAATGTCAAGCCCCAGCTTTGTGCGGTCACACAAGCTCGACGCCGACGCCGTGTACGTGCGTTCGCCTCTCACGGCGGACGAAAAAGCCCTCCAGTATCTTCCAGGCAGCCGCTTCCTTAATACGACGGAGTTTAAACGAATCTATCTAGGCGCCGGTGAGGACGAAGGCACTCGTCCGTCGTCTGCTACTGCTGTGAGTGATGTTGCATCCTTTCAACGACGCACAAGTTTCCGTTTGGCTCAGCAGGATGCAACCGCTAACGTGGCGGTGGTTTCACACATCGGAAGCAGTAACAGCAGCGCTGCTCCTCGTCATCTCCCGTACGGCAACACTAACGGACTGGTGCCTCGTCGGCCTCCATCTTCATCGACGATGGTGTTGCCCCGCACGCGGAAAGGCAAGGCTGTGCGACGGCTCTGTTATGGCTCCGCTGACAACGTGAACGAAGCGCCTCTACTTTGCACTTCAAAACCAACCGGTTACCCACCGGCGGTGGCGCGCCAAAGTGCGAGGGGTGTTTTAGACCCCAACTGTGGTCCCATGGACGAGGCCGCCGCCGCTTCTCATTCTTCTCTGTCCCAGCAGCTGCGGTATAAGGTGCGTGCAGCACGGCGGAAGTCTCCTTCTGCTCTTGCGGCCGTCGACGCGGCAGTGGTGCACTCTCCCAGTCGCGGGCGTCGCACCGACGAGGCGTGGCTTTCCTTGCAGCGTGAATTGACGGAAAAGAAGGAAGAGGTGCAGAGCTTGAAGCGGCAACTACTCCGCGCCCAGGTGCTCGTGCGCACGCTGCACGGCGTCGCCAGTGAAGAGGCGGACAGCACAGATGAGGAGGTCGACAGGAATAGTGTGTTGGACGCGGGTGGAGACGCTGATGTCGTGTCGAAGGAAGGTGACGTCAAGGTAAAGGCGAAGGTGGGAGGGAAGAAAAATAATGACCCGGGCAAGTCTCCGTCTGCTGATCAACGCCCGAAAGAGTACTGGCAACGACGTGCGTACTTTCTTGAAAAGCAGAACGAGGAACTCACGGTGGAGGTCGAGCAGCTCCGCCGCGATGCCCGCGGGAGCAAAGCGCGGGCGCTCGCAAAAGAGGTGGAGGCGATGCGGGGAGAGCTGAAGCGCTGCCGCCGTCAGGATCAGGGACGACCTGTCCCCGCTACTGCGCCGCGAGCCACCGGCGAGACAGAAATTGCCGCGACAGTGGAAAGAGGCGAGGAAGGGGAAGAAAGAGGCGAGGAAGGAGACGCTGCAACGACATCTTTTTGGCCTGTAGAAAGTCGCCGGCCGCGACATCGCGGTCCCCCTGGCTCCATCTTTGCCTCTACCGCCGATGAAGTCATTCTGCGGGAAAAGGACGACACCATTCGTGACCTACGTGAGCGGCTGCGTCTGCTCACTCAGCAGTATCAAAAAGCCGACGCTCAGGTGATCGCCTCGACCCGTCAGCTCGCGGACCTGACGCACCGCCACAGCGCGATGCAGGCGGAGTGGCGTGCGTTGCAGCGGCTGCCGCAGGAGTTGACGCAGCTGCAGCAGCAGCTTAACACGACGCAGGCGCAGCTTCTCCACTCCGACCGCGAGGTGGAGGTCTTTCACCAGATCTTTGACACCCTCGAGTCCCCGGCCACCCTGCGTGCCGTCCTGGACGAGCGCAATCACCTCGTGGAGCTGCTGCGGCAGAGTCAGCAGCAACAGGCGGACCTGCGGGACGAGATGAAAGCAAGCCGGCAGCAGGCCATCCACGCGATAGAGGCGAAGTGTCGAGCGCAGAGGGAGGAAGAGCTCGCCATGGCCCGCGACCGCGAGGCGCAGCACGAACAGACGATACGCCAGCTGCGCAAGCAGGCTGAAACGTTAGTAGACCAGCTGGAGGAACAGCGTGAGGCGTACGAGGCCGAGCTCGCGGAGAACGCGGACGAGCGCGAGACGGACTTGACCGAGCGCTTGTTAGAGTCCGTCGCACAGGGTGAGCCCGAGGAAGGTGTCAGGGGTTTCAACCGCAGCAGCAACATCAACCCGGGTGCCACAACACGCAACAACAATAACGTTCCGCCGTCGGAGCAGAGCGCGAGTGCCTCTCGTAGCTCGGTGCGTAGTGCCTCACCATCGTCGCGGCCACCGTCACGCGACGGTCCGCGAGATGCCGACGCACCGCGACGCTCGCCAGGCGATGGTGAGGCAGTTGCCGCCGCTGCCGCCGTAGGGGACCTCGTCGACAGCACTTCGGCACTTCTCGACACGCAGCCTTCCGTGCACGCGTTAACACAAATCAACGATGCCCCTTCTCCACTATCTCCAAAATGGAACGATGCTACCGGCACCCCGAAGGAGAGGGAAACGACGCGCCGCCTCGACGCGCATGCGGACTCGGAGAATTCATCCCTGACATTAACGTCCGACACGGAGAGCTCCATAGCGGAGACGGTCACCGACGATGGGAAGGACTCAATACACGGCGAAGCGAAGGAAGTGGTCGCACACACACCTCCAAATGTCTCGTCGGCCATGGTAGGCGCCCCTTCGACTAGCGCGTCCTCTCGAGCGGTGCCTGCAGATGCCGCCCCTCACGACAGCGGTGCAGCAGCGGTGGTACAGCCCGGACTGGTCGGTGACGAGACAGCATCGCACAGCCGCAGCAACAGCACCAACGACAGTAGCGACAGCACCGCGCAGGACAATGAGGATGCGTCGGACGAGACAGTCGAGAAGGTGCACGGCTGCGGCTCTGATTCGTTCGACAACTCCGCCACACCGCCACAGGAGCAAGGAAAGATGCGAATTGGATTTGGCTTCTCAAAGTCTCTCGACGCGGCGGGGCCGCAGGAGGTCACTGGCAGCGCCGCTTCCTCCGCGGTCCGCCGCCGTCCCGTTTTCGACTTCCCTGCGCCACCCACTGCGATGCACCCCGTCTCTATTCTCATGTCCCGCGCCCCCGAGAGCGGAATCCATTTCGCGAGTGAACTGCGCGCCGTCGTGCAATCGCCCGCGACGAGTCCGCAGCAAACCTCCACCGCCGTGTCCGACCCGACGCAGTCGCAGCCCACACTAACGGAGAGCGACAGCGACAGCGCAGAGCACGAGAGGGGAGAGGAGGAGGAGACGTCGTCATCTCACTCCTACTCCTCTTCGTCCTCCAGCTCCTCTTTTGTAGCGGTGCCGGTAGCCTCGTCATCCGCGGCGGTGACGGATCAACACGAAGCAAAAGAGTCGACTGCGGCAAATGCAGATACCACGAGGCTTACAGAGGGAAAGGCGAGCGAAGAAACGGCCGTTGTTCCCCACGCAACAGCACACCCCAGCGCGAGCACAATCCATTCCGGCTTGCAGTCCGCGCTCGACAACAGTCTCGACCCGACGCTGCCTGTCACCGTCACGGACTCGCCAGCGGTTCCACGAAACACGCAGCTTGCCGCGTCGGCAGTTGCCTCCAAGGCAGCCGCTGCAGCCTCCGCCGTCCCTCCCCTCTCGCTATCTGCTCCGCAGGCCGCTGCGGCAGCGCAGAGTCTACCGTTGACCAGCACGACGGTGCCCACCCCTACGCACCCGTCCGTGTGGTCTCTACACGACTCCCCGACAAATCTCCCTGTCACGACGTCCGTCAAGGCAGCACCGACCCTCTCCCCACACGCCATTACTCCGTTGATGAACTCCCGTCTGTACCCACCACGGATCAACAGCGCGCAGCTGCTGCCATCGCTCAACTTGGAGGAGAACGCAGCGGACGGCGGACCGCAACGCAGCGGGGCCTCGCCGCGGATGCAGAGCTTCGACCACAGCGGCACCGAACTCTCACCCCAGTTCTCGGGCAACGCGTCGTTTGACTTCGTTGGCCCCCTCGCCGAGCGTCATCGCCTGGAAGACTTGCAGAACAACATCGTTCTCTCGTTGCAGACCTCACCAGCCACGCTGTCCGGTGGAGCGGCAGGTGGGGTACCGTTGAATCCCTGGCCACTGCTGGGCTTCGACGTACGTCAACAGAGCAACGCCGTCTTCTCCTCTCGGCCCGGCAGTCCGCCACAGGGTGACAGAGCCATCTCGCCGGCTCCAAAGAAGGAAAATTCGACCAACGAGGAGAGCGAGACAATGGAGGGAAAGGAAGAGGTGGAGCAACAGCAGCAGCGGCGTGTGCCAGCTACAGGGCCTGCAAAGGAAGGGGTAGATGTGTCCGTCGCCGGGCCGTCGCAGCCCGCAGCGCAGGCGCGCACGTTGCCGACAGCTGCCCACGATCAGGCCGGTGACGACAACAAAGAGAAGGTCTCGGCTGCGCAATTTGTTCAGCCCACCGCCTCCTCCTTTCCTCCCCGCAGAAGCAGCGGCGAGAGTCCGAGCCCGATTCGGGACACCTCGCAGCAGGAGCACACGCTCTTTTCATTTGCGATGGACGACGCGAGCGACATGAAGAATGCAGTGGACGCGGCAGACGCAGATGCGGCGGACACACCGCCGGTCTCCTCTCCACCAACCGAGCACAAAGACAAATCTCCTGACATTCCGCCGACCGGCCTTGCGGAGAACGACAGGGACATTAATCCGGCAGGCGCCGCAACGCAGTCCCCTACGACTGCTGCCACTTCATCTTCCCCAGCTGCGCCGCTCCTGCCGTTGCCGCCGATGGCGAAGGTGCCAACGCCACCCTCAGCGGGGATTGCGGTGCCCCCGCCGCCTCGTGTTGCGGTGCCACGCCCTCCTGCTCCTGCAGCCGCTCCACCGACGCCTCCGCCCGGTGCCCTTACGACGTCTCGTGATGCAGACGTCGGTACGGCACCGGCAGCCGCGGTGGCGCCTGCAGCGCCTTTCGCAGCGGAGGGCGTTCTCTCGGTGCCATCCACCCCCCAGGAGGCACTCGCGTTGTCCGGTGCAGACACAGACGAGGATGAGAGAGAGGAGGAGGAGGAGGACGACGACGACGATTCGTTCTCCTCCATGCCGCCGATGCTCGTGGGTGGGACGGTGGAGAAGACGAGATCGCCGCCGGAGCCGCGCCTGGCGAACGAGTTGAGTCCCTTCCCGCCTCACTTTGCGTCTCCGAAACAGCCGGAGCCGACTGTGCCGCGCTACTCGGCGTCAGCCGCGTCGAGCATGCTAGGAGAAAAATAGAGCTGACCTATTTGGATGTGCATAACCTAGACTACTAGAAAATGGTGATTTGGGTTTGTTCGTATGTGGTAGAGCTAACAAACACCACACATAAGATAAGTGTTTAGATCAGAGCTGCTCACCCAGGGGTGCCTCCGTAGACGCTGAAAGCACATCACCCCCGAAAAAGATGCTGTTACTTCTCGATGCCCTCTATACCCGACAAGTTGTGTTTATCATGTTTTATACCGTTTCTTGGAGACCTTTCGATTCGACAAGAGCCACCGCTTTGCTTCACTCTGATTTCCGTCTAGTACGGCTTTAGACTTAAAGACGCGCTTATGGTACGCGAAAACAAACCCATGCCCGTTACGCGAAGGCATCCGCAAATGGAACGAGCTCCTATTATTGGCATCCCTAGTCGTGACGCAGATAGGGTGAGCTGTGCCGCCTACAGCTGTCAAGCACTCGCCCATTAAAAAACGGAGTCGATTTAGGAAGCAGCACGTGAAGAAAGAAAACACAGTGATGCTACATGCAGTAGAGTAATTTCTTTTCTCATGACGGTAACTCCTTTTTTCTTCTTCGCACACCTTTTTATCTGTTTCTTCAGCAATCAAATTTCTTGAACGCGCTCCACAAGGTGCACAGTCAAGCGCACTGAAGGATTTGCACGTCGTTCGCGTAAAGCCTGGGATTGTAATTGGTTGTCGGCGGTTCTGCAGCGTCCGCTTTTGTTTCCTCTTTTTGCTTACCGTGCCTCCTCTGCCTGTTGATGGTTCTTCTTTCTTTCCTTTTTTCGTTTTTCCCTTCATTAGCTGCACTGGTATGGGGACCGCCGTCGTGACCGCGAAAAATAAGCAAATATCAGCAAAGGCTCGCATCGATCTCAAGCTACTCTGGTTGTTCCACAATTGAACGAGGAAGAGGTATCTAACCATAATAACACCTTTCAATTTCGTGATTTCTTTCTATAGCTCTGCGCGTCCTCTGCGATGGAACAGCACGCTAATCTGACGTCCTCTACGCACCTCAACACGTCCAGTGCGAGCGTAACGCGCACCGGCCACGACGCCGCCGCCAGCATCTGCGCCCATCTTATCGTGTACAACGGACTCAGTCGCAAGCGCATCGCCCACGCCGTGGGCCTGCCGGCGCTCGTGATTGAGGAGTCCATCAAAAACGGCGTCTCCTCCGCCATTCTGCGCGCGCAGCTGCGTAGTTGGCTCCACGAATCATCCGCGTCACAAAAGCTGCGAGTGCCAGATGAACTTTTCGCGCAGTTGCAGGAGGAGTGTGCAGCGGACGAGGCGGAGAAGCAGCAGCGCCAGCGCAGCGGCGTCGACGCGTTTGCCTTTTCTGCGCTGGACCCCGTGTCGCAGGCGCACTTCATTAACCTGCAGCAGTCCGTGGGACAGAGTTTTATTTCCATCTTGAACGACCCGGGCGAGCCGACCGCCAACGTCGACTGGAGCACTTGGCTGGGCGGCAAGCTCTATGAGGCGTTTGACTTCAACGGCAGAGTGGGCAACTTTGACGACTACACACGGAACTTCAAGGAGCGGCAGGTGGGGCCGGAGTCGGCGGCGGCGTTGTTGGCCGAGTACCCGCCCAACCACGACTTCAGCGCCTACGTGAAGCAGATTTCCGACACGTATCAGGCGAACCGGCGCGAGGGCATCGCCAACGCCGCGGAGGAGTGGCGGGACGAGGCGACCGACTTTCTGCATGGTGGTCGCAGCACTGCGGCGGCGGTGTCGCTGTCGGAGGACGGCGGTCCTTGGCCGCAGGGCGTGCCGAGAGCTTTCTTTGTGAAGGATTACGACCCTTCAGAGGAGATGGCGATGATGTCGGAGGTGGTTGGTGAGTCGACACCTGCTCTGCCGCCGTCGCCTCCAGCCGCCGACGCCGCCGCTCCAACCTCTTCTCCCCAGAGGCATCCAGGTGGTGCGAACGCAGCTTCGACATCCACAAGAGCAACAACGACGTCCTCCTCATCACCGTCCGCGACGGACAAGGCAGTCACCTCGTCGCCAGAGTCAGCAGCCATGCCGCTTCTCAGCCGCATCGTTGACAACACGACCTTTACCGACGACTTCGAGTACCTGGAGGGCCGCAACAAGGAGCTGCGGGCGTGGGAGTCCGCGGTGGAAAAGTGCCTGCTGCAGCACGTCAAGCACCGCTCCGAAGACTTTTTCGCCACGTCGCAGCAGTTCGGCTCCCTCAGCGGAGACGCGCGCAGCGTGCTCGCCGATGCGCAGGTGGCGCGCGAGGGTGGCATGCGAGCCGGCGAGCTCTTCGTGTCCGAGTACCTCCGCATTGGGCAGCTCTACCGTCGTCGGCAGAACTTTGTGCAGCTGCAGCGCACCGCCACCACCGCGCAGCGGGTCCTGCGCCGCCTCGGTGACGTGGAGAACTGGGCCGCGCTGCCGGAGCGCGACTTCAGCGAAATCCTCGCCATCGTCAACGCCCTCGTGGACTTGGAGGTGGCCGGCAACAACGCCGACGACAGCGCGAGCAGCATCTCGTGGAACACGCTGTCGAAGCTGCGGTGCCTTGCCGAGGTGCCGCGACGCGTCAAGGCGGCGCGCAAGGTGCTCGAGCGGGTGGTGCTGGACGAGTACGCGCGTACGCTGCTGAGCGACCTGAGCGAAGGCGACGCCGGGGAGCGAGTGAGTCTGGTCTGCGTGAGCGCGACGCGGCTTGGCGTGCTCAACGCCGCGAACCAGCTTTATTACGTGAAAGTGGTGGAGGCGTTGCAGGTCGCGGCGCAGGAGGCCTTTGTCGGTTTCCTTATGAATATCGGTACGCTGGACGACAAACACGCGAATGATCTGCTGGCGGTGGTGGCGAGCAACACGGTGGCCTTTGCGCTGCCCGATGCCCGCCAGCAGCTCTGTGGGTTTGCGAAGAGTCTTCGCTGCGACAAGTATCAGCGGGTTCTGCAGCAGTTCGTGGACGTTCTCGTTGACTTTGTGACGCAGGTGTCGCAGAACTGGGGCTTCTTCGTGACAGGCGGGCTGTGCCGTGCGCTGGCGATGTTCGACAATCAAGCCGCGTTGATCGAACACGCAACACGTGATTTATTTGCCCGCGTCTGCGGCGAGGCGGAGTCCTTGGTGGCGTCGATGCTGGAGGTGTACGCGGGTGGCGAGCAGCTGTCCTCGACGGCGGACGTGGAGCAGCTCGTGCGCATCAGCACGCAGTTCCCCCTGCGCATCACAAACGACGTGGCGGGTCGGCTTGTCTCGCTGCTCGACGGCTCCACCGCCGCCTCCGCTGCCGCCTCCTCGAAGGATAGCCCACGTCGTGGCTCGTTCACGAGCGGAGCAGAGGGAGAGGTGGAGGCCACGAGCGCACAGAACGCCGGAGAGCCGATGGGCTTCACCGTGTACCGTCCCACGAAAGTCATCGGCACCACAATCCAGCGCCTCACCAAGCAATTCTTCCGCCGCCAGCACAAGGACAACAAAGTAAAAATCACCATGGTGACGGAAGGGGAGACGTGGGTGGCGAAGGACACCGTCAGCGCTGCGGTTCAACGCGAGGTGGAGGAGATGTGCACGTTGAACGCAAACGCGTTGGAGGCGTTTTGTCTGCGTGCGGTTCGGATGTTGACGACGGCGGGAGAGAGTAGCGGCAGCAGCGTCATCAACAACAACGGAAGCGTCAACTACGCGCACTCCCGCGGTGTGAGCAGTCTCGCGCGATCTGCCAACCTGGACAACACTGGGGAGCTGTTCGACACCGATGCCACGAAGCTGTACGTGCGGCTGCCCCGCTCATTCGGCGGTGCGACGACGACGACTCCCACCACCTCCCCGACGTACACCTTTCACAACAGCAGCAGCAGCAGCGGCGCGGCAGCGCATGTGGGTGGAGTAGAGGAGGAGGAGATGGAGGAAGGCCGCCTCGTGGCAAATTCACTTCTGGTCTTGATGGATCTTTTGCACACCTACCACACCTACATGGCAACCTTTCCCTTCCTCGCCTTCGATGTTGCGTCGCGCATGATCGAGCTCATCGATGCCTACGAAGGTCAGGCAGCCGCCATGGTGCTCGGCGCGCGTGCGGTGGAAAAGAAGACGCTCACTACCATCACAACCCAGCACTTATGTGTGGCCTCGCAGTGCGTGTCGTTTCTCAACGACTTCATCCCCGCGCTGCAGAAGCACCTCACGGCCGCCGTGTACAACGGCGCAGTGATAGAGGCGGCGCTGGCGCACCGTGCTCCGCGTGACGCGGTAGCCGTTGCGGGTGCCCTCGGCCTCCTGCCATTGCTGCCGTCTGCGGTGAACGGCGGTAGCATCACGTTGGCTGACGGCAGCAATGGGCCACCACAGAAAGCAAAACTCTTTGTGGAGAACGACTGGAACCGCGTCCTGAAGAACTGCCGTGCCCACCGCAACGAGTTCTTCTCCAAAATGGGCACGCTCGTCTACCGCAAGGTGGAGAGCCTCGGCTCCGTCAGCGTGCAGAAGAATCAGTGGTCTGTCGGCGGTAATGAGTGGGTCATGGCGATGCTGCGCGAAGTCGCTCGCTTGATGCGGGCGGTACGGCCGCTGCTGCCGCTGGCGGACATGGACGGCGTGGTGGTGCCGCTGATCGGCATGCTGAGCGTTATGCTGCGCGAGGCCACCTCCCGCATCCCCGTCGCCGCCGTCGACGACTGCGCCGCCGCAACGTCGGACATGATGCTCTTTAAGGCAAACGTAGAAAAGTTCGGCTACGATGTGCTGACGTGTGCGAAGGTGACTTCGGTCTCGGCGGCGATGCAGGGCGGTCAGAGTTTTGCGCCGGTGTCGTCGGAGGAGGCCGTGCTGACGTGGTTTCTGCCGCCACCAGCCACCCCGTCACCCCCACGAAATCCAACGACGGCGAAGTAAGATGTCCGTGTAGGAAATAAAGGAAAGCAGCTAGGCAGCGTCGAAGTAGAAATAATGCTGTTGGATGCAAGGCTAAAGGCGAGCGTCTCTGGGCACGACAGACAGCAACAACAAAAGAATAAACAATATACAAAGAGCAGGATAGTGTGAGAAGAGACATCAAGCACCCGAAGCGTTGTTTTCCACCTCAAAAGAACGACGTGTGTGTGTGACTCTTTGTTTCGGTTTGGTGGGAGAGTCATTGGAGAGGAGCACCACTGTTCTCCCTTCACACGCCGAGCTATAGAAACGTTTTGCTTCCTTTTCTAACCTTTTGACCTCGCGGAATCGCCCTCCCGCTCCTCATCTGCTGTGTTTCGTTTCTCCGTCTTTTTCCTTTGCTCTCCTCGTTGACTCCACGCACTTTGCAGCAGAGGAATTTGAAACTTTCGGAAGAGTGGCGTGGTACGTCGTACGAGGCGTGACTATCACCTTCTCTCTTCATCGCTGGTTCTACGCTGAACGCTGAACCGATTAAAAAGAAAAGGGACATGAGGCGATTAGCCCGGAGCGTCGGTATTCGTCTGAACGGGCTGCCTCGCTGTGCCTTCTGCGAAGCGGCACGGTGGAAGACTTCTGCGTCTCCCTCGCAGCCCACCGAGGATGGGAATGAGGTGACCAGCGTGTTCCCAGGAGAGGAGGTGACTGCGACGGAAGCACCACCGTCGCACCGCTCAAAGTCGGACATGTCGCGCCACCGCCGCCACAGCCAACAACGTAGCGAGGCGGACGGGCTCGTAAGCGACATCTTCCGCCTGCAGAAACAAGTCGCCGTCGAGCAGCAGCGGCAGCGCCTTTCCGTCCGCGCGTCTCGACTCGGGGAGGCAACCACCTCGAGGGCGGCCGCGACATTACCGAGAAGTGTGCCTTCGCCTGCTTTAGCTGCGGAGATGATGGCGGCGGAGGGGGTCTATGTGCCGGAGACACCCGCTGCTGCAGTACCGCCTCCTGTTTTAACGGTGCCATCCGCCGAAGAGACGGCCGCCGCGGCTCGTCGAGCCCGTCGGTTGGAGGGTGGTGTTGCGGCTTTTGTGGTGTCGTCGTCTTCCCCAGCCGCCGCGCCGCCTTCAACATCCACGCTGCCGCCACTGCAATCGTGGACCCCACCGTTTGCGCTCACCTCCGAACGCCTGCACTCTTCCTTGGACGGCCCGGCCTCTGACGTGGCGTTTACGCTGGAGGAGTTGGAGAACACGCTGTTCACCCCCTCCGCGGAGGCTACAGAACAAGGGAAGGGCGAGGCGAATTCTCTTGCTTTTTCTGTTACCAGGGACTCTACCGATACCACAACCGCCGTTTCTCCTCCGCCGCCGCCTCCGTCGTCCCCTCCCGCTACGCCGTCCTCGGCTACGTCGTCCACAACTGAAAGGGTGTCCTCCGACAGCGCTGCAGCTGCCACTGGAGAAGAGGAATTGAAACAACAGGAAGTCAAAGAAACACCGGTTTCCAAGGAAGAAGCCGCGCGCTTACCGGAGAACGTGAAAGTGCCACCGAACTCGAATGCAACATCGGGCAACCGGTTGAGGTCAACGGCTGCACCGCAGGTGCAGCCACTCAGTCCTGCATCCAAGCCTCTCCCACCAGTGCTGAAGTGTCGGCTGCGCGGAACGGCGGTGGTGGTCACCATGTCCCGCGTGCCGTGCGATCTGTGTGAGCTTGTGGAGGCTCTGCAGGAGGCCGTCACCTTTGCTGAGTCCCTCCCAACGCTGCCCCAGGAATCGCGCGAGGTGCGACTGCGTGTTGACCCGTCCGCACCCGAGTGTGCGGCCTTTTCGTTTCTCGGTGTCCGTGACCTTTCTGCGGTCGCGTCTTCTCTCACCGAACGCGTTGGGGTGCAGTTCATGAAGGAGAGGTTGCTGCGACGCATGCAGGATGGCCACCACCGCAAACTACACTACGTGGCAGAAGTTCACGTGCAGCCAACCGCGGTGCCGTCGATGTTGGAGAACTTTACCGCCGAGCTCCTCCTCGCCTGTGACGCACACGAGATGCGGTCGAAGAACGGCTTAGACGGAGGTGCGAAGGACGCGGTGAAGTTGTCGTTCCGTGGCATTGGCGTTGGCGTCTTTCCTGCCCCAGCCACGGCGCGTCGAATGAGGAAGCGTATTGCAGTGATGCTCGCGCGGGAGGATCAACGAGGGCCGCTGCTGACCCATCTAGGGCGAAAAGACTACGAAATCAGCAAGGAGCAGTCCGCATTTGACCTTGCCAGTGTTACCGCGAATACAATGCTGTGTCTGCATCTTCTGCCGACTGACGTCACCACGGCGCTTCTTATGACGAAAAGCGCGGAGGACGTAGTCCAGCAGATTGGTAGTCTGAGTGCACAGATAGGCAGAGCAAGGTCTGGCGTGGGCGCTTTCATTGCCTCGCTGTTGCAACGATGGGCGGCTGTGAAGGTGCAACGGGGCGGAGTGAAAGCCATATGGCGGTCCCCGGAGGTGCGCACCGAGTCCTCCTTGACCACATGCGTCACTGCGGCGCAGGTGTGGTCGTGGGTGTGCGAAGCCGTGTTGCGACCTGGTGCCACGGACACGGTCATTCGTGATGCAGTGACGGAAGCCATGCGCGCCGCTCCGCTGCAGCGATGTCTGCGAAGCTACGCTTTCGCGGCCGCACCAATCCTTGCGTTGCAATCACTGCCGCTAATCATCAGCAAAAGCGAGGCTGCAGCGGGTCGCAGCACCGCCGCGTCTTCACCGTATGTCATCGAGGTATCTCTCGCTACATTGGCGCAAACATCAGTAACGGACCTGGCAAGTGAAATACGGGATCAACCGTCGGACGTGGTGCTCGCCATTGCGGCGTCTGTTCCGCTGGAGCGGCGGCTGAAGTTCCTCGCCTCGCTGCATCTCATTGACACCGGCGATCATCACCAGGTGATGGTGTTGCTGTCCGGCAAGCCGCAAGAGATCGACGAATGCGCTTCGCTGACCAGATCGTCTGCACGTTTGGTCGCTGCGCCGGGGGCTACGGACTGCGGTCCCACGATCGTCTCTCCGGCGGAACCTTCTTGGCTCCACCAAACGGTAGAGGTGAGTTTGGCGCGCTCGCCTCCCCCAGCGGTACCTCGCGACGGCTGGACCGCGCCTGAAGTGAACGAGGCGGTGCAGTACGTAGTGAAGAACTTGCATCGGCCATGTGTGGTGACAACGAAGTCGGACATCGGGCTCGCTTTGCGCAGAGCGGCGCACAACGCTGAGATGAAGTCCGCCCCGAAAAGCCACGACATTGCTTCTGTGAGAGGAACGGCAGCTGTCATAGGCAGGCAGCTGTGGCAGCAGTCGCTGACGCCTCTCGTTCCCCTCTGCCACGACGCTCTCGGCGTGGTGGCGAGAGTCACTGAGCCTCCACGCTTCTTCTCACCACCACGGAATCGCAAGACAGTAGCTGCTGTGGCAAGGGCAACGGTTGATCCTGGACTGGCGTTCCTGATGGTGTTGGATGCGGCCTGCCAAGCCCTCTGTCGTGAGGAGGAGACCGCTTCTCCAGCTGCGGTAAACGTCTTGTCTATTGCGGCGTTGCAACTGGACGCTTCTGCCGGTGGTGTGTTCGACGCCGCAGATCGAGTCTCCGCGGACAGCGTGGAGGGCATCCTGACTGCTATGGAGGCAGCCGCGGCAGAGCACTCCGTCTCGTTTGCATCTCTCTCACTCCTTCGCTGGATGGTCGAGGAGAAGCTGTTGTTTTACCAGTTGAACAGCACCGTAATCACGCGTTTTTCCAAGGCTCAGCCGCAGGGATGACGTCGTGTCGTTTACCAACTTATGTAATCCCACGACAAAGCCTTTGTAGTTTTGTGGATGACCTTTCAGTGTCCGCAAGAGCCTAGTTGGTTTTGAGTCCGCTCTATCTCTCCTGGTTTATGCCCCCTTCTTTTTTTTCTTTTGATACGGTGACGTGTTGGGGCAGGTGCGCGGGTTTTCACATTTTTTTTTCTCAATCGTGTCTTTTCTGAGCCTTTTTGCAAACTGACCCCTTCAAAAAAAAAATCTGATGTCGCTTAGCTGCTTCCATCGTACGTGAAAACTTGACACGCGTGCGCTTGTAAATTCCTTTCCCGTGTAATCGCTTTACTTTGCTCCTGCATCAGATTCCTTATTCGTTTCCTTCTTTTCACCTCAACCTCTTCCCAATGCTGCTGCACTTTTTTCTTTTCTTTCCTCCACCGCATTCCCTTACACGACCCCACTCGTTAATGGTAACGCCGAAAACTGAAAGGTGAGGAGTACGCTTCGATTGGTGACCCCAACATGGTGCTCAACAAGTGGGCAGTCGTGACGAAGAGCGCCCCACCGGCGGCCGGCCTGCGTCCGCTGGGCCGCGTCATCTCTGCTCACCCCAAGCTCCGCCCGGCGGACTACAAAGTCCCTTACGTTCTCCGCAGCTTCATCAAAGACCGTCACCTGAGCGAGATGCAGCACATCGAGAATCGTGGTATGTATCGTGAAGAGCTCGCCATTGAGCGGTCACGGTTTCCGCGGATGCACAAGACACTCGTGATTCAAACTGACGGCGCGCTGAACGAGCGTGAGTTTGAGTTCGCGGTGCCGCCAGTGGTGACAGTCTTCCAAGACCGCCTCTCAGCGCACCGTCAGCGTCAAGTAGCCTTGGCGAAGATCGGCAAACTGAAGCGGCCGAAGAGCTGGGAGACGACGGTGAAGGGCAAGGAGTCGCTGAACCCTGTGTGCAACGCGTTGGTGTTTCCGTACTGTGTGCCGAAGAAGATGCTGGTGCGGCCGCGCCTCGTGGATCCACTGAGCTCAAAGAGCATGACAGATAGCCGCAATAACGAGGACTCTTCGTAACAGGCAATCGTTCGTTCTTATGTGGGGTGAGAGGCAGTTGGGAGCTTTGTCTCGAAAGCGCTCTTGTCACCGCAGAACAGCAAAACAACAGCAGAAAGACGGTATGCACGTGAGAGGTAGAGTTTATGTGGGCGGCGTTGTATATTTGTGTGTCGTGCGTGTTTTCTCTTCAGGCGCTTCCTGAGATTTACAGCAAAATGAAATATACCCCCTTCGGTGGATTTTACTCAAATGCCTGAATAGATTGTGGTGATGGCCCTTATTTTCGAGCCTGATCTGTTCAAGGTAATCCAGCACAGTTCTTACGCTAGAAGAAGCTGCATTTCGCCTAACTCTGAGAGCTTTCCAAGGTTCTCGATAGCTCTCGACTCCTTCATAGGGTGCGAAGCAGCACTGGCCGAGCTTCTTTGCTTTGTTTGTTCCGCTCTCGCTCCACCTCTTCCTTCTTCTTTCGCCTATTTTTTTCCCCATTCCATTGGAGTTCCACCCCGCCCAAACCGTCTCTGGTGTACTTTTCTCGTCGGACGCTTGGGCATATACATATGTATATGTACATGTATATGTGTGTGTGTGTGTGTGCCCGCAGCTTTTCGTTCTTGTCTTTTTCTCGCGTTTTCTGCCTTAGGTGCTTCCAAATTAATTGCCGCGTGATCTGCTTTTTGCACCTTCTCGGCGTACTCCCAACTTTGTATTGCGTGCGCGTTTTTATCACCTCGAACCGCGTAGTACTTCTGCGCACCTTATCGGCCTTTTCTTATCTTTCCTCTCTTACGATTGCTTCAGTAGCCGCACTTTTGTGGTTCTCACTCACCCATTCACTCACACACAAGTCGGAAGTAACACCGTCACATTTCATCACACATCTTCTCTAAAGAATAAGAAGAACAAAAACATGACTCTCGACCCGAACTCGTTCGAAGCGGTGAGGCCGAAGCTGTCACTGCAAACACTTCAGGATATTGAGGGTCTCGATCCCCTCAAGTACGGCTTTGGCCGCAAGGAGTGCTGCGGTCCGATTCCGGCGAAGATTCTCGGCAGCATGAAGCTGCAGGAACACTTCTTCCTCAACTCCCGCATGCTGCCCACAGAGTGGGACAAGCGCACCGAGAACGTGCCCGGCTACAAGGAGTTGGCGGAGCAGGTCAAGAAGGAATGCCCGGAGGCGTCCTTCACGGTGTCGCACCTCGACAGAGACACCGACGACTCCATCCTTCACTTCAAGGTGGACGAGGAGGAGAAGGCGGTGGCGATTACGCAGTACAGTGGTGTCACGGAGCCCTACGAACTGCCGTCGAACGCGAAGGGCAAGCTGGCGGTTGACCGCTCCGGGGAGTACTTCATCTTCATCTGCGCGCACTTTACCCGCGATGAGCGCTGCGGCTACTGCGGCTCCGTCCTCATGGATCTCTTCCGCCATGCCATCACGGAGACGATGGGAGAAGGTGGGGCGGCGCGGGTGTCTGTGCACGCATGCGCGCACGTCGGAGGACACATCTACGCCGGCAACGTACTCATTTACAGCCGCTACGGCGGTATTTGCTACGGTCTGTTCAAGCCGGAGGACGTGCAAATGGTGGTGGACGCGATCAAGGAGGACAAGGGTGAGGTTCCCGAGTTGCTCAAGAACCGCATTCGTGGTCAGATGGGGCCCAGTACGGAGTCGAAGTAAAGTCTCACGCTACTGCTGCTGTTGCAGTACTCCTCTCTACATAGCATACAGGGAGCTGTATTTTCTCAGCATTGTGGTCACTACTTTGATTTGTGGAGGTTTCACAGCAGGATCTCTTCCCAACAGCTGCTGTACGTCGCAGAAATCGGCAGACTGTTTTCAGCTTGCAACGGTGCTTCCTCGTCGTTTTCTTTTTCCCCTCTCCTTCTTGTTCTTTACACTTTTTTCGGGCGTATTTCGATCTACTTGACCTGCGAACACTGGTGTGTTTGGTGTGTGCGCGTGTGTAGGTAGCTACTAAACTATCTTTATTGATTCTCTTTAACTTACCACTTTTACCTCTTACATCTTGACGATTCTATCTCTTCTCTTTTTTTTGTTTTGCCTTGGTATGAACTGTCAAGTATTCCCCTTACCTGTGTGTATGTGTTTGTTGTTATCGATATTATTACACGGCACCTCGCAGATGATTCTTCTCCGATAGCAGCCATCGGTAGAGTTTCACACGCAATTAACTCGAACGTTCCACTGAAACGGGCGAACTCATTGTGTCGAGGAGGACACTCAGGAAAGTGGAACAGAGAAAAACGGTTGCGATCAGAGTCGCGTCTTTTCCCCCTCGTTATGGAACTACTATCTAGGAAGTCGAGAGAGCGCTGTCGCTGAAGGCGACCCCAACGAAAGCACCGTGGAAACCGTTTTCCAGGATATTAAAACCACATGAACGTAAATGACCGCTGCACTTTTTCTTTTTTTAAGTGTAATAACTTCTGCTCGTGATGTTCTTCACCACCACCACTACTTGAGCGCTTTGACTTGACTCGCTCTTTTTCCTCTTCCTCGCTTTCTGCTCGCTGCGCCTTTACCGGCATGAACAGCTATATTTGTCACCACCATTTGCGTTCCCTAACCCTGATCGGGTTAATATATATATTTTTGTCTGAATAGAAGAGAAGAGCGGTAGTCGAAAACAAACAAGCAAGCAATCCAAGGAAAATGTCGCACAAGCGCGCCGCAGAGACTCAGCTCACGCGCGATAATGACGGCGAAGACAGGGCCGAGGAAGAATTCGTCACAACGCCGCAGATCGCAGACGAGTCGGAAATGGCCACGCGGCGAGTGGTGAAGGTTCGACGACCGGAGGCCAGCTCTGCGAAGCCCACCTCGGGTAGCACCTCCGGCTTCTTCAAAGACGCGGCAACGGCTGCCAGCAGCGCCGCTCCTGCGAAGCCGACCTTCGGCTTTAAATTTGATTCGAGCAGCAACGGCGGCGGTAATTCCTCCACTGGAACGGCGACGGCCTTTTCGTTTGGCCCAACGCCCGCAACGGCGGCGGCGACGAAGCCAACGTTTGGGTTTCCTGCCTCGTCCGCAACAGCCGGGGCGTCGTCTGGCTTTTCCTTTGGCAACAAAGCGGCCCCCACCGCGACGACGTCGACTTCGTCCTTCACCGCGGCCACCACCGCTACCAGCGGCGGCGGCAGCAGCAGCAGTGCGAACCCGATTGCGTTTTCCTTCGGCGCCGCGCCCCCTGCCTCTGGCGATGCGGCAAAGAAGCCGGCAACAGGCTTCAATTTTGGGCTGCCCGCCACCGCCGCCACCACCGCGACCACCGCTTCGGCTCCTGGCACTGGCAGTGCAACGAAGGAGGATGAAAAGCCCGTGTTTGGCGCCGGCAGTTTCAACTTCGGCAGTGCGGTGAACACGTTTGTGGCGGCCCGCAACAAGATGCAAGAGGAAGCCAAGGAAGCGAAGCCGGGCAGCAGTGAAGGCAAAACGGAGAAAAACGGCGCGGATGGCGAGGAGGACGAGGACGAGGACAAGCCCGATCCGGCCGGCTTTGGCAGCGAAATTGTGGAGCAGACGGCGCGTGATGTGCTGGTGACGGCCCCGTCTAAGCTCTACCTTTTTGAGAAGGGTGAAGACGGCACGGCTGGACGCTGGACGGAGCGTGGCACAGGTGACGCTAAGCTCATCTCCCAGCCCAATGCCGCCGACGCTGACGAGCACATTTACCGCCTGCTGGTGCGCGGCGGTTACTCGCTCAACGCCACCATCAAGAAGAACACCTTCACCTTATCCAAGACGGAGGCGAAGCATCTCATCCTGCTTGTTGCCACCGCTGAAGGGCCGCACACGTATTTGCTCAAGTTCACTGGGCCCAGCGCAGAGGCGAACACGACGAAGTTTTCAGAGGAACTCAAGAAAGTTGTCGCGGAGGTCTCAAAAGCGGAATAGTCAGATCTACGGTTCGATGGCTCCTTTCTGTCTCCCCTAAGCAGACCGTTTCTTTTTTTGTTTGTTTGTTTGTGTGTATGTGAAGCCGCTACGACAGCTGAAGCGAGTGTCTGAATTGGTGCGTGCTCATGCCACTACCGCCGCGCACTGCCCTCCGTCCTTTTCTTCGCCGGAAAGCACCCCCCCCCCTTTCGGTGAAATACGCCTTACAGTGGCCTTTGAAGGCAATGAGGCTCTTTGGCGTTTGTGTTCTTTTTTAAATATTTTGCCTCTCTCGTCTCTTTGGAGGTTGGCGGCCACGACTCTGCCGCTCTGGAAAGTAGAAACGGAAGTTCAACGCAGCAGAGAAGCACACCGTTAATTCTCGGTTAAGAAAAAAGAGAACAACGGTAGAACTCAGCGTTTGCATCATCATCTACCGTGATATTCGATATAAAAAGAACGACCAAATAACGAAGATGCTTGAGGCCAGCAGCTAAAGCCCGGCGAGGGATGTCACGCGAATACATCATTTGGGCAACAAATGTCTTGAGAGTTTCACTGAGCGGCACAGCGTCACCTTCTCAACGTATGCAGCTCAACTTGCTCGACCTCTTAGATGTCTCTTTCCCGCTCATGGTGCTTTGCTTTTTCTCGTTACTCGGTGTTTTTTTTTTTCATGAGTCGGCAACAACGAGAGATGCCTTCAAGCACCCTCTATACGTCACTAAAACTCCTGTCCCTTCTCCACGACGTTCTTTTTGACTTGATCTTGTCACCAACGTGTTGTCTGGACCTCTGCGACGGACTTCGTATCGCGTTCACTAGTGAGGTGTGCGCTCACGAACGTGCCTGTTTCGAGTCGCCTCTCGCACAGCTACTCAGAACAGTCTAAAGTGATTTTACCTGTTCACACCTACAGCTCGATTTCTCTGCTTTTTTCCTGAGTTTCACACGCGTTTCGTCTTTCTCATGTATTTCTTCTTTTTCTGCTTGCTGCTTTAACGGATATTACGTGCACCTTTTTCTTTTCAAATGTCCTGCGTTCACCAGGGCTTTCAACCTTCTTCTTTGCATTAGTGTCTGACATTTGGTGCACGAAGCATTAGACATACAGACAAGTGACAAAACATGTCAGCTGCGAGCGAATGTAAAGCTACGGCAACCGCGGAGGCGGAAGAGCTTCGTGAGCCGAGAAGCGTATTCGAGGCTCTTCACATTCTTCGCTCACGAAATCCGTTTTACATGGCCATCACCAATCCCACCAAAGATAAAACTGAAGCACTGGACTTTACCATTAATAGTCTGCGAGTTCATATTGACCAAGGCGTGGACGAGGAGACCGGAGACGAGACCGCCGTCGCGCTTGCGGTGGCGCTGCTCTGGCACGACAAGAAGGTCTGCATTGAGGAGGGCATTCAGTTGATGGAGTACTTACTGAGGGAGAGGTGGGCGGTACGCTGGTCGGCGGTGGTGGGCGAGGGTGGGGTTCCGCTCGGGAAGGTCGTGGAGAGTGGGCCGGACGAGGAGGACGACGGTGACGAAAACTGGGTGAACTTGGAAACGCAGGAGGCTAAGCCTGGCAGCTACGCCGCTGCGTGGACAGCGTCCAGCAGGCCCACAAACTCGACGCCCGGCTCTCACGAGGTCCTTCTTGGTACGGCCATTCAAGGCGCCACCGCCCCACCACCGCCGGAGGAGGAAGACGGTTCAATCCCGCCTTCACTGGTTCGGGACAGGGGTACGTTGCCAACAGCGGCCCATCTCGCATCTTCGTCCACGACGACAACGGCCACCACCACAACCACCACCTCCTCCTCCTACACAAGTCCTGGGGTTGGCAGTTCTGCCTGTGCCACTGCGGCCGCAACATTGACGCGTGATGAGCAACTGGCGCAGTGCTACTACCACCTCGCCGTTGGATACACGAAACTGCGCATGAACAAAAAAGCTCTCTTCTACGCGGATCATTTGCTGCGGCTGAGTCCGCTCAACAGGGACGGGCTGCTTCTCCGGCGTCTGCTCTGCGCTCGTATTTATGTAACTAGCACGCTGACCAAGTCTTTGCCGTTCCTTCTTCTCGGCCTTCTCTTCCTGTAGGGAGCACGTATTGTTGTGGTGACAGCACTGGCGTGCACGGATTACTGTCGAATCCGAGCGAGGGCGAAAGGGAAGATGCATAAAACTCAGCACGTGCTGCATTTTGAAGATGCTGTCTTGCTGTTGCACGTACTTTCTTTTATCTCGCTGTTATTGTTGGTCACTTTTTTTTTCATCTTCTCAACACCCTTTCCCCTTTTCAAGGCTTGTGGTGTTGCTCACTTAACTGTGCAGACACACCTTCGTTTTCCGTTGGTTTGTCGGCAACCTATTTTTCTCTGTGTTCGAGTGATCCGTTTTGCACTCCTTTTCTTTTGTTCTTCTTCCTTGTTCTCTATGAAATGCCAATTGTGGTGTATTTTTATCTTCAGTGGCCGCGCCAACGATCAGCTATAAATCTTGTTAACTCTCCCTTAGAACAGAATAGGAGCACGTGCGCTTCACTCCTGCGTTGCCTTGCGCTTTCGAATGACGCATCTGCATGGAGTACATGGAACCACTTCATTTTTATCCTCCTTCTACTCTCTCCTTCTTCTTGTTAATATACTACTTGATGGCCACTCGTGTGCATTGCCTCTCTCCTCCCTCCTTAACAGAACACACAGCTTCCGTACGCATTGTACTCCGGCTGTTCTTATTGGATGCATAATCACAATTGGTAGGAGGATCGCCTCAATAGTAGAAGATCTGTCGCGGTGTTGCACATCTATGTCTCACTCCTTCTTCCCACATGTTTCGTTCAACCCTCAGACGCGCGCTGAGCAGCAGCACCACAGTTTCTTGTCTTCAGTCTTTCCGTCTGCAACAATGCAGCGTGTCCGCGTTGCTGTCAAATGGCATGCTGTGCCGCTCGATCAGAGGAGTGAGGTGCCCTAACGCTGCTGCCATTCTGCCTTTTCAGTCTCCTTTCGCAGTGGCCACTCGTAGCGGTAGCTCTGTAACTCGCGCGGCATCCTGGCGAGCCGCTCCTCGCACAAAAGCATCTTGGCGACAAGCACGTAAGGCACAAACACAACATCCAGCGACGTCGAACATCATCAAAAGTAATAGCAAGAGTGCGTCGAAAGCTGGGCCAATGCGAAGAAACCCTTCACGGGCCACAGCTCGAAAACCTGCCCTGCGACGTCCCCGTCCGCACTCGCGCAAATTAAGTCCCTATCAGCGGCAGACCGAGAAGTACAACAAGCGCGTGGTGGCAATTGCGCGTCTGTGGAAGGAGCAACGGAAGGGTGTGCAAAAGAAAAAGAAGTTTTTGGCTTCCCGCTTAGTGTGAATGCACGCGCTGTTTACTGCCGTTTTTTTCAATATTTCTATTTCACCTTCTCCCGTTCCAGGAGGTACGTATTTCAGTGGAATGTAAGAACTATTTTAATACACACTGTCATATCTGGGTTTTCGGCGTAACGACTGTACCATTACTGTTCTTTTTTTTTGCTGTTGTATGTTTACTTTAAAACTGAGCCGTTTACTATTTTTTTTCTCCCTGCTGAATCAGCAGCGCAACTCCTTTGTGACTCGTTTGTTTGTGTGTTTTGTTCTTCTTTTTGTTCTCTTCTAATAATATGCTCGCTAGTAAGTCGATGTTGTTGCGAGAGTGTCCCACACGTTTTCTCCCTCTTCTCGTCTTCCTTGTTTCTGAGATTTCTTGTGCGTTGGTTTCCCTTTGCGGTGCTGCATCATTCGATATATGTAATTCTCTTCAATAAGCTGATTGCGTTATCAACGCCTACCATGTCTGAAGGTCAAAAGATTATTAACCGTGAGAGGAAAACTGGGAACAGCGGTGGAGATGCTGTTCCACCATGGCAGATCGTGCGTTTGCTGAATGGACGACCGAAGCCGATGAGCAACCGAGTTGCGAGTAGGTGTGAAGCGAAAGCGGCACCTCAACATGATCTCACGTCTTTCTTTTTTTTTGTCTCTGAAGCCACCATTCCCTTGCATTCGCTTATCCCCGCTTTTCCTCTTCACCGTCGAACTCTGCACACACGTAAGAGTACAAAGAGAAAGCACTGCTGACACGCGATACACACTTGAAGTGTTTTTGTTTTGTTTTGTTTATTTATTACTTCTCTCTTTTCTTTGTTCTGTGCAAACGACGCCTCTGCAGTCACCATCGTTGGGTAGAAGCAGCCGCGATTCTTCACCTGCCTTTGCGACGAGAGACCTTTTTTTCCTCCTGCTTCTGCATTTTTGTGCCAACACCCCATTTCGCTTCGCTTCTTCTCTTCTTTTCTTTTTTTCCTTGGTTGTCAGTTGAGCTATTGGACAGCGCAGCACCGCACGCTACTGCCCTTGAAAGCGGCGACGCAGTTTTGTCTCTCTGATTTAGTGCACCACGAGTGGGCTTGTGTGGCCAACGCTTCCGACGTGAATATCATCGCGTATTGTTGCTTACGTTCGCCCCCCTTTTTCTTCGGTTGAGAGCTCGTTAGAATACCAATCAGAGTCTGCACAGTTTCTTAACGCTGAATGAATGGGACGAAGCAACGACCACTGCGCGACGCCACCGCCGCCCATTCACGGCCACACCACCGTCACGCCCCCTTCTCCGTTGGGGAGGGCCACCACGTAAGCGGCGCGGGCAGCGCAGACCGTCAAGCCCCATCCTCCGCACCGCGTCGGCCGTCGCTGAGCACGTCAGGCGACCACACCTTCTCGTCATCCATCGCCATTAGCAGCGACACCGCGGATGTGTCGCCTGAGTTGTCGGCTCGAGCTTTCAACAGTCCTCCCGATACATCCGGCTCTACCGCTGTTGCGACGGCTGCTTCAAAGGGGAGGCAGTCCCCGTATTGGTGGGGCGCTTCCACATCTTTGCTGTCCGACAGCTCGGCGGCCACAGTGACGGCGACGGCCGCGGCTCCTCTTGCTGCGCCAGGAGGGCCGTCCGACTCCTCCTGCGTTGTGTCGCAGGGGCTGCGGTGCTCTATTGACTTTTCACACGAAATTGAGTGGCGCGCCGAGGCGGAGTTGCAACAGCTATGGGTGACGCTGTGGTGCGCGACACACAGTGAGGCGGCGTTGGCAGCGGCGTTAGACGGTCCACGCGCGCCGTGGAACCCGTACCGGCCTCTGCGAGGTGGCCAGGGGGTGCGCGAGGAGGTGCTGAACAGCGAGGTGGCCGAGTTTCGAGAGATGGTCACCGTAGACAGCCTCTACCTGCAAGGGACAGCCATCCAGCCGGGGACGCACCTTGTACACAGTGCTCCCTCGGCGACGACCAGTCCTCACCGCCCGCCGAAAAAAACGAAGGACGGGCATGCGGCCTTGCAGCAGCGGGAGCAGAGCGAGGAGGAAGTCTTCACGGAGGACAACAGCAGTGCAACTCTTCACCTACCTCCCATGCAGCCACTCGCATCGTCAGCAGGCGCGGAGGTCGAAGTGGATGCGCACTACACCGAGGCGTGGTGGGCTGCCCATCGTGCCGACGGCGAGGCCGCGCTCTTCTGCTACCTGTGGGAGGCGGTGGTGGTGCCGTTTTACACCGCGCCGTCCGCCGTCGTCTTTCCGCTCCCCTTTGCATCACTAGACTTGGCGACGACGGCGGCCGACGCCACCCTCACCCTCGCATGCGCAGACGTCAAGGAGGAGAAGGATGCAAGTGGGGTGGTGACCGCCTTCTGGCCCACCAAGGAGGACAAACGCAACTGGGTCGTTGAATCGGGTCGACGGTCGGTGTCGCCGACGTGTGTGCGGACGCCACTGAGCGTCGGCGACGGTGAAAGCGACCGCGGCGTGTCCTCGCTGGCGCGCACGCAGCGCTCCGGTGGTGGGCTCCCGTTTTATTTAACCGAAGACGTGAATGTGGTGTCCGACGACTCGCTCGAGGTGGAGGTGCTGGAGGATGACAAGACGAATGAAAATGACGGACTTAAAACTGAAGAGACGCCTCATTCTGCAAAGCTCACGCGGCAGCAGCACATGGCACCCTCGACGCGGATACGGCCCGAAAGGCGCAACTCGCGACGGCACGACCGCCCGTCCACAGCGGGCATTCAAGCTACGGCGCTTTCGCCGAGCGAGGCAACTCTGCTTGGCATGCCGATCCCGGTCTCTGTCAGCGGCGCGGCGCTCGCGGCGAAACAGCGAGCCCGATCCGCGCGCACCGACGAGGGCGCGAGCATTCCCACGTCGTCCAGCCTGGTGCAGCCAAACGCCGCCGGGCGCGGGTGGAGGTCTTCGAAGATGCCCACGCTGCGCACCACCTTTGCGGAGTCGCTGGCAGAACTCACGATGGATGCCCCGCTGCCAAAACCTGCGTCGGTGACCCGGCAGCGTCCCCCGACGGCGCAGCCGGTGGTGAGCAAGAGTCGGCGCGTGGCGTCGCCGAGTGCGTCCGCGCAGGCAAGGGCGGCCCATTCGGTCCATAGCCACGCAAGCAACAAGGACGACCGTGCCACCGGCAGCAGGACGACGACCACGGCTGCTACTACTACTTTTGCTGCAGGGGTGAAGACGCCGACGGCGGCGAGCGCGGCGGTGCCTCGCACCGGCACGTCCTCTCCCGGACGAAGGAACGCTGGTGGCGGCAACGCCCTCCAGTCACAGCGGCCACCGCGGCAACTCCCGTCCGGCGGCAACGAAGCCATCAACCACGCCCTGCAGCTGCTGGAGCTGCGCGATCGGCCCACCTCGCGCTCGCCGTTGGCGCAGTGCCGTCCTTTCCCGTCTGCTTCTGCCGCACCGCTTGACGCCCATCGCAAGGGGAGAAGTCGGACGAGTCCACAACTGGACGACGTACAAGAGGTGTCGGGCGTGAAAGAGAGTCCGCCGCGCAGCCATCTCTCTCTCGTCACAGCAGCGCCACAGCAGAAAAGGCGTCTCCGACACGTTCACGATCACACCAGCAGCACGAACAGCGCCTCTTGTCCTCCCACGGTTCAAGGTGAAGAAGTGAAAAAGGCGCCAACGATGTTGGGTCTTGGTGGGTCGGAGAAGCTGGTGTACAAGGAAAGGTTGGCGCCCCTGCGAGAGCCGACTGCGTCCTCTGACACGTTACGAAAGCGGTCACCTGCCCTCCTCGAAATGCAGCGTGGGGCAGCGGCGGCGGGTCGCACGCCGTCTCCAGGGTCGCAGCGGCGAAAGAAAGGCGGGGCACCGCGCTCATCTTCGGAAAACAAGAGGAATGTTCAACATCGTCCTACCACCGCACAGCGTTAGTGATACAAGAGATGGAACGAGGGAAGTGGAAGTGTGGATGAAAAGACCACACGTGACGTTGCGTGGTTGACAAGCACACACCAAATGTAATTTCGGCAACATTTTTGTTCTGCAGCCTGCCAAGGAATGCCGTGTTGTGCAACGATGTCGTGCAAGCGGTAAACGGTGCAACCCGCAATCGATGCCGTTGCGTTCAAGGGGGGGGGGGAGGGGTGGGAAATGAGGACGGCACACGGATCGCCCAAAAAACATTTCTCTCTCTATACCCATGTTCGCTGCATGTCGACACTACCGCTGTCGTATCTCTCACGAATTCCTTTCTCTCTCTCATCTTCTCTGTATCTCGTGCGCCGCAAGTACAACTCCCACATTCACCCCATTGTACCGAAAGCAGCCCTCGCGCAGGTGCCCAGGCTGGTTCACGAAACAGACAGTGGCTACACTGTGATACGCCGACGAGAACCGTGAAGCGGTTATATATATTTAGCGGTTTAGATCAGCGGTGCTCATAGATAGATTGTGTGTCAACACAATATATTTTTTTCTCTGTTATAAGCCATCATACGTTTTCACTTCGATTCTTATCGTTTGTGTGGTTCACCTCTCTCACATCTCATTTTTTCCTGTGTGTACTTCTCCGTAGTTGAGGCTGCTGCGCGCATTCAGAACTCCTTTCGTACAGTTAGATCCAGATTTCTCTTGTTTCTTTCTATCCGTTGCCTTCCTGCCCTCGGTAACTGATGAGCACGCTGACTGTGTGTCCCTACTGCGGGGAGGCCATGCGCTTCGACGAGATGAAGCGACACTTTCTCTCGTGCGAAGGCCGCTCTCCTCTACCAACACCGCACCCGCGCTCCCAGCACGCCACGTCGCCCAGCTCCCCAGCAGCAAAACCGGTAAGTGGATTGGAGTTCTATAATCAACTCAACAAGCTGAGTCTGTTAACACGTTCCAAGAGCAGCGGCGGCAGCAGCAGTGGGGTAGGGCGTCCTCAATTCGCCGCCTCTCCGGACCGACAAGACGCGGCCACTGTGCGGGAGTTGATGCACCCTAGCACGTTGCTCACCATCGACGTTGCCCCGTCGCGTTCGCTGACGTCGGTATCCTCCAATGAAGTCTTCGACAACGGGGCACGGCGATGGCCTGTAGCGGAGGCGACGGATGGTGTCTCTCCTTTGGCGTCTCCACCTCCGCCAGCGGTGCGTGTGAGCCTGCGTCAGCCGGATAACCGCTTCAATACGATGGATCGCAACGCGGAGGAGGAAGAGGCAGCAGGGCGGCGCAGCGAGCGATCGGGGCCGTCCATCTCGTCTTCACACCGCTCAACCTCCGCCTTTGCGAAGCAACCTGCATCCGCGGCGACGCAGCGTAAGCAAATGGTGGACGGCGGAAAACCAGCGAGCGTGCCCTCGCGTAGTCGTTCGAGAAGTCTGAGAGGAGGGACAGGGCCGGCCGCCGTGCTCAACACGTCCCCAGGCATCAAGGAAGGTGCAACAGGTAGAGTGGCTTCTGAAAAGGCACACAATGTAGCCTCCATGGATGATGGCAAGGAAGTGTATGGTGCGGTCGACAACACGCAACCGCAGGAAGAAGCGAGGGGACGTGAAAAGGCTTCTGCGAGTTCCGCGTCGGCCTCATCGCGGGCGTCGTCGCTGCGGCCAGCGCCGCAACGGAGCAGCTTCGCCATTCGCCTACGCGGCGGCAGTGGCGGCTCCTCAGCTCACGCGACGGAAGGTGACACCCCAGAAGTCAACGTGCACGCCACTCCTGGCAGACCGGGAAACGCGACGGAAAACCAACGCCAATCTGTATCAAGTGCGCTGAGGGCGACGGTGGCGCAGCTCAGCACGGCTCTTCGTCAGGTTCAGCAGCTGGTGCAGAAGCAACAGGAGCAGTACAACGCACTGCTGCACGCGCACGCGGACCTTAATCGCGAGGTGGCAGCCCAGCGGGGTGCGCACAACGGGATGATGCGCCGCTCGTTTGAACAGGCGTCGACGGCGGAGGCGGCCCTGCAGCGGCACACAACGCAGTGGCGCAGCGAACAGGCGGCGCTGCGTGAGTCTGTCGCAGCGTTGTGGGAAAGCGTCTCCGACATCCAGCAAAAACTGTCACGGCAACGAATCGAAGCAGTCGCAGCAGCACCTGCCTCTGTCCCCTCTCAGTTGTCGCCAGCCAAGGCGTTCCCAGCGTTGGTTGCGCCGTCTCCCGCGTTCCCTCCGACGGTGACACCCAGCAGTGGCGTAGCACCGCCTTTACAACCCTTTCAACAACCCCCGGAGCACAGCGCACACGCCCCCACACCTGCCATTTCTGTCCAACGCGCGTCCCCAGCGGAGGAGAGCGCGTACTACTCCGACATCGCCTCCTTCATCCATCAGGATGGACCCGCCTTTTCGGCGCCTATGTCTGCGGTGGTGAGTCAGAGTGGCGACAGCGTCGGCGGTGGGCCGCACGCGTCGGCTGCGAAGGGCCCAAACCACGGCAGTGCGGCCCACCGCCCGAGTACTGCCCGCACGAATACCTCTGCGACGGCTGTTCAGCTTCCATGCTTTGCCGTGCCCTACACTACACCAACCGTCTCATCTTCGCGTGCGAGTTCGTTGTCGCACGTGGGACACCGCTCGACGACGCTGCCGGGCAACTATCCTTATGCGATGGATGTGCAACAGCAGCAGCAGCAGCAGAGGCAGCGGAACTCGCGAGCGTCGATAGAAGATCGCGTGATGGCGATGTTGCACGCGAAGCCTACCGTGGTGGTTCAACGATCCCCCTGGAGATGAGCGCGTGGTGACAAACAGCAAACACGACGGAGAACGCACTCGACATCATCTGAGGTCAACTACCTTGAGGCTCTCGTTTGGACATAAAGGGAGCTTCTCGGAACGGATGAAGTAAAAAAAAAAAGGGAAACGTTAGCTCCCTGGAAATAGTCGTTTTTGAGTATCTTGTTCGCGATTAGACGCAGCTTCTGAGTTCGCAAAAGCAAATGTAGGATGGCGATCGTTTTACCTTGCATACTCGTCTGCATCCCTCTACAACCTGCAGCTCCTGTTCTCTACGCACTTCTCGCGCTCTAGTGCCTTACTGAGCAGCATCAACTCTATTCGTGGCATCGCCGCGAAACGAGCGTAAAACAACAACAACAACAACCCAGAAGCATTCCCACAGCGGCCTACAAAAGGATTAAAAAGAACATGCCGCCGAAACTTTTGTGCAGTAAGTGCAAGATTGAGCGGGCTGCGTTGAAGCGCCCCCGCAACGGCCAGCTGCTGTGCCGCGAGTGCTTCTTCGATCTCTTTGAGACAGAGATCCATGAAACAATCGTAAAGGAGCAGCTGTTTCGTCCAGGCGACGTCGTCGCCTCTGGTGCCAGCGGGGGTAAAGACAGCACCGTTCTCATTCACCTCCTCGACACTCTGAACAAGCGGTACAATTATGGCATTCACATCGAGCTGGTCAGCATCGACGAGGGCATCGTCGGCTACCGCGACGATAGCCTGGAAACGGTGAAGCGCAACTCTGCCTTCTACGGGCTTCCCCTGCACATCCTCTCCTATCAGGATATCTTTGGGTGGACGATGGACGACATCGTGCGTGTGGTGGGGCTGCGCAACAACTGCACCTTCTGCGGTGTCTTTCGCCGTCAAGCGCTGGAGAAAGGGGCGGTGCTGGTGAGGGCGGACAAGATTGCGACCGGACACAACGCTGATGACATGGCAGAAACAATTTTGATGAATTTCTTACGTGCCGACGCACCGCGGCTGTCGCGCTGCACGGGCGCCGTGAGCACCGGCGAGGGCATTCTCCCACGCGTGAAGCCGCTGAAGCACGCCTATGAGAAGGAAATCGTCCTCTACGCCCACTTCAAGAAGCTCGACTACTTCACCACGGAGTGCACCTACGCGAAGGAGGCGTTTCGCGGGACGGCGCGCACCCTCGTAAAGGAGTTGGAGGTGCTGCGGCCGCGCAGCATCGCGGACACGGTGTACAGTGGAGAGCACCTGGAGGTTCAGGCGCAAGACGCCGTGCCGACTAGTGGGGCGCCGAAGCCGTGTGCGAAGTGCGGCTACGTGACGAGTCAGCGTCTGTGTCGTGCGTGCGTGCTTTTGGAGTCGCTGGCGAGGGGAGACCCGTCGGCGGCCCTGCACCGTACGATGGTGTAGCACGAAAACAGCAGAAGATCGGCTACACGTGAGGTCTAGACGACCAACTTGCCCACTCTACCTTCTCTTCATTTTTTGCTTATCTTGTGGTTTCTTCACAATTATTGCCTGCTGACAACACAGCTGCGTTTCGGCACCTGCGCCCTTAAAGGTGCTTCACAACGCCATTGTAACACCTATTTCCTCTTAATCGTTTAAATGATGCGCGCTTGTTTGCTTTTTGCGAAAGGGATTTCTCTTTCTCTCTATCCGTGTCGCGGGTGTGCTTTGAAGTGCTTTAACACTTTATTTCAACCTACCGATGAGGGGGAAACGAGAAGTCGAAGAAAAAGAATGCTGCTCTGTCTGTCACCTTGTGGAAGGCTCCCGAGCCTTCCGTACGCGTTGTTAGGACGTGCTTCATTGCCCTCTTTGATGGCATTTACTTCGAGGAGCTCGAGACGATCCGCTTCGCCACATGTTTGGCTTCTTTGCGTTCTCAGCTTTTCATTCTACTGTTTTTTTTTCTTCATTTTCTCTGCTACGTCTCTGGTTCCGAATACCGAGCGATCGTTGCCTTTCCTCTCCCTGTGTCAATAGGTGAATCCGGATGGCCTACATTCACAATGGGCGAGTAGTGGAGAAGAAGCCTTTCACCCTCCGAGGCTTCCTGCTCGCACTCTACTCCGCCCTTTCACTGTTTCTGCGCACCTTCGTCTCTCTGCAGCCCATGTCTCAGGCGATCGAAGAGCACCAGCACCCCACACCGGGTGCGACCAACGGGGGCTGGAGAAGCTCGTTGCAAGGGCTGCTGTCCCGGGGCAGAGGACAGGCGCTGGGGGGCGGCGGCGACAACCGCCGGGGCAGCGGCGGCGGTGGTAGCAGCTGGGCGGATGCGGTGAACCGCCGTGGGGGGAATATCCACTCGCTGCCGAAACCACCCATCGGCGGTGGCTGCGCTGGTGGCGGTTGACGGCGGTAAGCAGGTGAGTTCACAAATGCTTCGCGTAGAACGACCAAAAAAAAAAAGAGACAGAACATGGAGAAGGCGCAACCTTTTTCTTTCTTTTTTTTTGCCTGTTGTTGTCGTCGAGCATCTCACCTGCGAAGGTTTATCTAATTCATTGTCTGCTGTAAAACCAAATGTGCACGTTACCGCGTCCCTTCTTGTTTGTTTGCTTCTGAATGTGTTTGTGCACGTTCGATGACGGCCAATCACACCGACACCGAGCACCAAGAGCACAGAAGCACAACACAACAGAAGAGCAAAGCAAAAGAATGGACGACGTGACGAACCGCACGCGCGAAGGTGTGAAGGTGTCATAAGAACTGGTGTTTGTCCCTTCGAATCTACTTTTCCGCATCTTTTTCTTTCTTTGGTCACTCTCTCTCTTATCGTTTTCTCATTCGAAGCTGCTAAGCTGCAGGAGCGACGACGTGAAGAGCGTGCTGAAGCGAAAAGAATCGAAAAGTTGAAGGGACGTTTTTATAGGACTTCTCGTGGAGAAAACTGCTCTCAGTGCCACCTGAACGATTTATTATCATTATTGCCTTCTTACGCACATCATCTGTCGCCGTGTAGCAACACACCCGCTGTGATTACCGCCAAGCAGCCGAGCTTGTCCGTCATACACTTTTTTTCCTGGGCTTTACGTTATTCTTGATTCTTAGTCATTGCAAACACCGTCAATTTTTCTTTCTCAATAATTTGCTTTCTTGTACTGAGTTTATATATATATATATTTATTACTTCTCTGTTGAGATTTTATGTCAAAATGAAACGATAATGGTTGAACTCGTCTCTAACCGTGGATGTGCAAACGGAGGAATGCGACCTCTTTAGACACCTCTGGGAGGAAGCGATTTTGAAAAGTCTGTGGTGTTTTCCATCGTTCTTCTTGAAGCAAAAACCAAACAACCAAACAAAAAGAAGACGAATTCGTGTCTAAGCTCCCGAACGCACAGAACTACTTTGAACGATGCAGCTCCTCCCATTATTGTTTAACATTCGTGAACGTAAATCCTTCTTTGACTTTCCTACACCCGTGTTGAAACCGTCTCTACGTCTGAACACGACGAGGAGCAGCAGTAGGAGCGACCTTTGTTACCATTCAGCTTTCCTCTCCATCCAAACAGTGCTCATCTGTATTTTCACGGCTACAAAAGCTCCAGCGACAGCGCAATCGCCCAGAAAATGAACAACACTGCTTACTCCACAGCTGACAAGCAGCGCCTCCCGCGTGATCTGACGCCGCAACAAAAGCAGGACATCGAAGAGGCTTTCCGCGTGTTAGACGTAAGCGGTGCTCACACCATCACACCGAACTATTTGAAGGTGGCGCTGCGCGCGTTGGGCTACGAACCGGACAAGGATGCCGTGCGCAAGCTTGTCGCGGAGATGGACCGCGGCGGCGTCTCGAGCAACCTCGTGCTGAGCGAGTTCGAGGACATCATGCGCCAGAAGTTCTTTGCGGAGGACAATGATGCCGAGCTTGACCTCGCCTTTCCGCTCTTCACGGATGGCAAGTCGGACTTTATCACACTGGATGACCTGAAGAGAGTGGCGGCTGAGGTAGGGGAGGATATCCCTGAGGAGGTGCTGCAGGAGCTGATCCGCGAGTGCGATGTAATTGACCGCGACGATCAAATCTCACGTGAAGAGTTCAAGAAGATGCTTACATCTGATTAGAGAAGAAGGAAGAAAACGAAGACGTTGTGCATTTGATTGGGAAAGAAGATAGGAGTGCAGCGAGTCTTTGGTTTCCTCGCTTCGAAGCATATCTACTGCTTTACTGTTTCACTGTGAATTGGACTTCTGCTTTCTGCACCTGCCAGGCATCGGGGGGATTGAAATACAAGGAAGCTGCTTCCTTGGCATCACCGTGTAGAAGAAAGGAGCTGCGATCCGACGTAGCAAGTCGACGATTGTATGTAAATTAGATGAAATAATTGCTTTCTTACAAACTGTTAGTTCTCGCCCACGTCTGCAGCTCTGCGGGGTTGTTTTGTACGTGATAACCGTTATGTTTTCTTCTGCGTGAACCTCCACAGCTGGGAAGAGCGTTCTTTAGTGGCGTTTCAAAGTTTTTTTTTTTTCTTCTGAGAAACACACACTTCGTTGAAAGGGCCCTGCGTAGGCGGAATTCTGCGCATCAGCGACAAGAGTCTTCCATCTGTTGCCGGCATTTTCGCCATCGCTCAGCGCCCGTTTAATGCATTTCTCTGTTCTCCTCTACTCGCTTTTTTTTTCATTTTTCTTCTCCACCTTGAATCACCTGTTCCTCCTGTTTATCTCTCAGTTCAGCACAACCATTAAAAGAAAAAAGGATTTTAACTGAGACGAGCAAAGCTTTCTACTTTCGTGGTCTCTGCTAGCACACGGTGTAATCCATTAACTGCTTACCTTCATATTCGAGAAACGTATAAAAAAAAAGGTCCTGCTTTATCCCAAGTTTGGATTGTCTGACCTCTTCAACTTTTACAGTTGTACGAAGTGTTCTTCCCCGATCAACGCGAAGCAGTATTTTTTCTGCGCCTCCACTATTGTCATTCATTTTTTTCTTTTACTCATTCCACATCGCGAGCTGACTGTGCGTGGTAATCTGCTGCACCTTTCTATTTTTTTCCTTTCGTTTTGCCTCAACGGAAGAGGTAGAGAGAGAGAGGGAAGAGGTGAATCAAAGGTTTCGTTGTTTTTGCTTTCGATTTAATCCGCACAAGGTGAGTCGCTTGTTAACGGGAGCACCGTTCTTGTTGTTCGACATATCTGCGTTCTCGTCTCATTGAGAAGCGGCTGCGACCAAAATCAAAAAGAAAAAGTCGCGAGTTCTGCAATCAAACTGAACAATAGAAAGAGGCGCTGTCGCCGTACTTTTTCTCGCATCCAGCTCTCGCTTTCAGTTCGATAAGGCGTGCGTGCGTTTCTTTTGTTTGTTTGTGTGCGTTGTTATCTTTCTCTCCGTAGAGTGCAAAAAGCCGGTGAATCACGCCACCCAAGTAGTCCACGTTACTCGACGGAAGGAGAGAAACAGGTTTCGCACGGTGACTCGAGAAGACAAAGCAATTTGCAGCATTTCAGTTCCTTTGACACCCCCAGTCATCCTCACACGCACCCGCACGCGATGGCGGACGCTATGAGGACGCGCCTCGCAGAGGCCAAAACGGCCTTCGATGCGGGCAACTATAGCGAGGCGGAGAAGGTGCTCCGCGCGATGCCCCAAGAGGATATGAAAGTGCAGCACAACTTAGTAACCGTCCGCTACCTGCAGAACCAACTGACAACCGAGCAGGCATTGTCCGCCCTGCGAGCCAGCGCCGATGGCAACGGCGAGGACCCGAACCTGAAAGCCCCGGGCTTGATGCTGCAGTACGAGGGCCACGAGACCGCCGTCTACAACCAGGCGCTTCTCTACGCCCGGAGTGGGCAGGCCCACGAGGCCATGCTGCTGCTGCGCCGCATCCTCGATCACGCCGACGACGTGGCACTGCCGACGCTCGTCTACAGCGTCTGCCTCTTCAACACCCTCACGAAGACGATGCGCAAGGCGCCCGCGCGCACGACGAGCGCCGCCGATGAGGAGCTCGTGCAGAAGGTGCTGAAGATGTGCATGGAGAAGTTGAATTCGGAGCCGGAGTTGGTGAGGTTAATGTCGGCCGCGTTCGCCGACTCCAGCTCTCTGCACGACAGCTTCAAGGACTGCGAGAACGACTCGACCAAGCAGGCGGTGTACCTCAACAACTTAGGTGTCTTTTCCCTCACCGAGGAGAAACTCAACGTGGCGAGTCTGTGCTTTGCCAAGGCGGAAGCCATTGCGACGACCGAGCAGGCCGGCAGGCACCACGCGGCACCGATCCAATACAACGTCGGGCTCTGCGCGCTGCTGCAGGAAGACAACGAGGGGGCACTACAAGAGTTTTTGGCGGTGCAGGACGCCATGAAGGCGTCTGCCGTCTTCTGGGTGCGCTGCGCGGAGGCGGCCGTCGCATGTGTGCAGCAGGAGGCCCGCAAGCGGCGGCGCGGCGAGTACGAGCGACAGCAGAGCACTTACAGCGCGCTGCTGCAGAGCGGCAAGGTGTACACGAACTTCGAGTTCTTGATGCTGCCGAGCGCCACCAACGTCCCGGGTCCCATCACCGACGCTGCGAAGGACCTGCCGAGTATGACGGCCTTAGAACAGATCGCCACGGCTGCCGTTCAGAACGCACTCTTCTTGCTCGTGCCGAAGGGCCACACCTTCAGCAGCGCGGTCGAGGCCTTCCCGCACGAGCGGACACTGCTGCAGTACGCCATGCTGTACTGGATCGCGCTGGAACTCAACCGCCGCAACTACATGGCCGCCGTGGAGGCCGGACAGGAGCTGCTGAACGCACATGAGCGCTACCCGCTACCGTCGAATTTGCACGCAACGCTGCTTATTTACACGGTGGAGGCGCTGGTGCACTTGAACGATCCGGAGCGTGCAATGAAGATTCTTCGGCGGGCGTCGCTGCAGGCGCTGGTGACGGGCTCGGCAAGTGACCCGGTGGACGCGGCGCAGCGCAGCCGTGTTGAGGCTCTCTTTGTGAATCTGACTGTCTCGCACATCCTCACCGGGTCGTGGAACCAGGCGCACGCGATCATGGAGTCGCTGCTGCGCAAAATCTACGAGGCGGCGCCGGCCGGTGCGGCGGAGTTCATGCCGCAGCGGGACACGATGTTTGCCTATTGCACACTCGAGGTCTTTCTGGAGCTAGCGCAGGGCAACCAGGAGAAGGCGGCGGAGTGGATGTCGAAAATTACCTGGAGCATTTAAAGTGGTCTCCGTCAACGTACTGCACCGTGCTCTACGGAAAAAGACCGCATGCGAAGAAACAGGAAAACGCGCTACGCAGACTGAGGGGAGAGAAGAAGCGAACAAGGGACTTACTCCGCGTAGACCCCATCGTTTCGTTCTGCTTTTCCTCGTTCGGAGAAATGAGTAGCGCAGAGGTGGCGTGCAACTCCTTCAGGCATTAGATTTCTTCTTCAAGTGCGGGGTTGTCACTTTTCCGATTACGTCCTTCACGTGGCGTGTTATTCCAGTGACCTAGATAACATGCTGTGTCCGTCTTTTTTTTTTCTCTCTTCTGAACAACTTTAGCTTTGGAGTCGTCTGATGTTATACGTACAACGTTGAAAGCAGCTCTTGAACAGGAAGACGTTCAAGTGTGCTCGTGGTGAAGTCGCTGTGATTTGCTTTTGCCGGAATACAAAAGGTGGTAGTTGGTTTAATAATAAAACAAAGGTGTTTTTTTTTTTGCTGCGGTGTTGTGTTCAACTTTTTGTATGTTGTATTGTTGTTGTAGCGTTCTCGAGATACTGTTTTTTTTTTGTTTTCTCGGGTGCATCCTTTATCTTATATATATATATATATATATATCTTCCGTTTCGCATATTTTCATTTCAAAACTGTGTAGACGCGCTGAGAGGTCGTCCTCACCTTAACCGTAGTCTCTACGGCTTCATTAAAAAGAAGAAGAAAAAAAGAGAGAACTACGTGAAGTTAGCGATGCCTGTGATTGGGGTTGGTGGGTGAACGCCGAGAATTGACTTCATCTTTCGGTGGAGCAAACCCTTTTTTTTTGTGGGTGGGGGGGGGGGGCGGAAGGGGGGCACCAAACATCGTGCACACGGCGTCGCTCTGTCAGCATAAAGGCAGCTGTTGCCTCCTACAGATGCTGTGCATGGCAGGAATATGGAAATCATTTGCAGCTTCCCAAAGAGGGGTTGAATCCGCTTTCGACGTGGAACTGCACGTCTGATTTCCCTGACTCCTGATGGGTCTCTTCAAGGTATTTTCTGTCGTTGCTCAGCGGAGTCAATCCTTTGGCGACTGTTTTCAGGTTAAAATGGCCGCCACCGGAATTCGCAACCGTCTTTCTTCCATTTTTTTTCCCTTCTTTGATTCTCTCCTGCTTTCGCCAAGTATTCAAATACATCTGCTGTTGACGTGCGCCTCTCCATTGGAACCAGTCACTGCGCTCTTTTGCGGAGCAGTTGTACATATCCACAAACAAACATCGCTTCTCAAATATTTAGCGCAGCATAAGACACCGTTTAAGTAACAAAGCGTAAATCTGGACTGTACCCCAGTTACTTGTTGTTCTTGTTGTAGTTCTTTGTGGACTGTACACTATTCGTTCTTCCTCCCTTGCACCCATACACCCTCGCACAGTATACCCTTCGCGTAGTTTGTCATCTCAATACGTCGAAACACGCAAGACAAGATCATTGTGTTCTTCGCCGGATGCAAAGGCTGGCGCACCACTCTTTACTACTTTCATCAATATACTCTTGATTCTTCACATCTCGTTTTTTCTCCCCATTTCACAAGGCATCGCCGCCGCGTACTATGTGTTTTGTTTTCCCTATTTCTATTTTAAGCTGAGAAAAGAGGAAAAAGAGAAACACATCTACAGTACGCAACTCACATCACATCAGAGAATAGCATCTGTTGCTTATTTCTCTGCTGTCCGGAACAACTCTTAAGTCTGAATTGAGTGCTGGCACTTCTAATTCAACGGTGACATGCCACTCAAGCTTCTCCGCTCCCGCTTCGTGAAGGTTGCAGCGGCGACGATCGGCGTCCCCGTCGCCGGCGCCGGCGGTCTCGCTCTTTACGTACAGTACCGAAAGCGCACGCGGCCGCATGTCCGCATTCTTAAGCCGCTGGTGGACGAGTCCGGCAGAATCGTTTTGGAGGGCCAAGTTATCTCCTCGCCGTCCTGCACAGCCGTGTGCCGGCGCTTTGTGCAGTTGGTGTTTATTTTCCTGCCTGTCGCCGCGCTTTATCTCATCATGTCCCTTCGACAGAAGTGGTACGAGCAATGGCTGGAGATCCTGCTGGCGGCGGTGCAGCGCGCAGGTCCTGTGTTTGTGAAGATTGGCCAGTGGAGCTGCACCCGCGAGGACCTCTTCGCGGCGGACTTCCGTCGCGTGTTTAAGCGGTTGTACAACGAGGTGGACATCCACGCTTACGCGGACACGCTAAAGATTATCGGCGAGGAGCTGCAGGCGGATCCGTTTACAGTGTTTGAGAGCATTGAGCCGACGACCGTCGGGTCCGGCTCTATTGGCCAGGTGCACCTGGCGAAACTGAGGAACTCGAGCCGCCAGGTGGTGGTGAAGGTGATGCACCCGCAAATCGTCGAGAGAATCGTGCTCGACTTCAACATCTTGAACGGCCTTGCCAAACGGGTGGATAGGACCTTTAAAAGCCTCGATCGCTATCGCCTTCCGTCTCTTTCCCTGGCGTTCTCGAACCACCTCGCCGCGCAGCTTGACTTTCGCGTGGAAGCGCAGAACCTGGAGCAGTTCCGCGAGAACTTCAGGTCAGAGCACTACGTAGACTTCCCGGAGCCGATCATGTCGACGCAACGCATGCTGGTGGAGACGTTCTGTGAGGGTAAGCCGGCCAACCCAGAGTTTCTAGCGTCGCTCCCTCCGCACGCCCGTGATGTGCTCGCGAACAAAGGCCTGAATACGTGGTGCAAGATGCTGCTTCGCGACAACTTCATCCACGGTGACATGCACCCTGGCAACATCCTGATCGACTGCTCCGACCCGCATGAGCCGAAGGTGACGTTGATTGACGTCGGTCTGTGCCAGCAACTGACGGACCACGAGGGCGAGGTGACGCACGAACTGATGGAAGCCTTTGTGCGGTGGAACCCCATTCAGTGCGCGAACAGCCTCCTCGCCATGTCCGACCACCAGCAGTACGCCGACCCGACGGCTTTTCGCAACGACCTCACACAAATCTACAAGCATTTCCGACCCACGCGCAATGACGAGCACGCCGTCACCAACATTCTGCAGTCTGTGTTTGAGTGTATTCGCGTCAACAACGTGCAGATGGACCCGCCCTACGTCTCGCTGCTGTTTGCCGTGCTGGTGTTGGAGTCGTTTATCATGAACCTGAATCCCGAGTTCAACATGGTGCGCCACACCGCACCGTGGCTGGTGAGTGAGGGCCATCTGTCGAAGGGTGTGATGAAGAACTTAGTTAAGACGAAAATCGACAACATCAAGCGCGACTACGGCATTCTCACTGGCCGCATGGAGGATGGCATGAGGGAGGAACTTCAGCTGAACGAGAACTTGCGCGTGAGTTCATGGTAAAATTTCGATGAGGGTGCGATTAGTCGGCGCAGGAGAGTCGGAGTGGGTAACGCGTGCTTATTGCTGCGCGCTCCCGTCACGCTGTGGTTGTCCGTGTTTACGCTTCGTAAAGCATTCGTGTGCTTGTACTCCCTCTCTCGCTCTTTTGCATGTACGTAAACATGCATGGTTTCATGTCTCTGACTTGTCGTGATGACAAAACTCGTTCTCTCTTTTTCTTCTTATTGCTGTTGCTCGGTTGAATTTGATGGCGTGGCGCTGGTGATCTTTCCAATTGTTGCTTTTGGTGTTCTGCTGCCAGTTGGTATCACGCCCGTTCGAGCGTCGTGCTTGTTGCTCTGTTGTTGCCGTGCCTCCATTAAGTGTTCGTATTTCATCGCGCTGATTCTCCTTTCAGTTTTTCTTCTTTGTAAGAATACTTCCTCTCCACTTCCGTGTTGGACTCTTTCTTTTCTTTTGTTGTTGCGCCATTGTGAATTGCTCCCGTGTGGGCAAGGGAGAAGAACAGCAACAATACTGACGCTTAAATTTCGAACCATCATGATGATTTGCTTCGGTGCCGTTTAACGCTACGGTGCACTGCAATTTGGATTTGATACAATGACCATCTACCTTGTGAGGAGTCTAAACAACTCGATTGTAACAATGAAACGCATCCACATTTGTGTCTAGGAATACAAACGGTTTGTCTTGTTGCGTTGCACAATTAAATGTAGCCCGTTGCGCTTGCTTCCCGTTGCTGAAGCTGCAGGTATGCTCTTACAAAGAGACAAACGAGAAAAGGCAGAAAACTCACCGACAGTCGCTGTTTTTCTCTGAGCAGCCTTCTCACTCCACGAAAGGCCCGGTGCGAGCGCCCTTTTCCGCGACACACACGGCGCATGGATGCTCACTTTTTCTGCTCCAAACAAGCTCGTCTTCTCCTTCTCCTTGCGCTTTGATGGAATAGAGCAGATCGTCGAAGCGGATGCCTTTTCCCGGTGGCAGGAATGTCCCACGTGGCCAATTACAGAACGAGCACACTTACGTACATAACTGCGTTCATACGCATCTTCACGGACTAAAAACACCGTCGTTCGTTTCACCACTTCTTTTCCTCTCTCTTTTTTCCGGGCTTATCAGCAGCAAGGACCCGTTGTCATCTACCGTAGCGGCATGTCGACAACATCATCTTCGTCTCACCCAATCACACTGGATGAGCTGTTTGGCGCCCCTGTCGACTCTGCGAACCGCAGCAGCACCGCTGCGCGGAAAGCCTCGACAGCATCACAAACCTCTCCCGCTGAAAGCATCATGAAGAAAGACTACGCCGCAGTACTCACCGCACCCCCTCAAACGTCCGAGAGACACCGCGACGTGTCTCCTGCCCCCCGATCGCTGCTCGTGCGACTTCTACGCGACAACAACAAAACAAGCAGCAACCACGACTTGAGTGAAAGTGGAGGGCGTGCAACCCCACCGCTGTACCTAGGCGTACAGCGCGCAAGCGTGGAGTACGCCGGCACATCCACCACGGCATCACGCGAACCCCCGCACGTCAGTCGTTCCACTGCGCTCTCGACCACCTCGCACGCAACTTCGTCGGGCGATCACATTTCGTCTGTTACAGGATCCACGGTGAACCGCGTGCTGGGCATTCCTCCGTCCTCCTCCGCCTTTTCGGATCCGGCAAGCGAGGTGGCCGCGGCCTTTCAACCTGACGAGAAGAACGCCTTCACCACTGCTGCGTTGCTGTGGCGGTTTCTCCATCAATCCCAGCACATCGCCACTCACAACAGCAGCACTCCGTTTCCAAAGGCTGCCTACACTTCAACTGCACAGGAATCGCAGGGCTATCACGCGCTTCGTATCGCCTGTTTGGTTCCGTCCGTCGTACCGGCTGATGCAGCGGTCGAGGCGAACACGGACGCCGCCGTGGCAGCAAAACTGGACCAGGCTCCTTATCTCATCGAGAGCACTTACATGCGCGCTTCCACAATCACGACAGTGCTGCAGCGACAAAAGACGCAGCGGCACGCTGCCTACTCTGCGGCGCACGCCTTTTTTCGCTCGCCGATGCCGCTGACCGATACCCCGGACGTCGCGCCGCCCACCCGTTTGCCGGCGCTGCTCGACATGCCGCTCTCGTTGAGGTGTGCGATGTGTCAAAAGCACGATTCAGTTTGCCACCGCTGCCATTGCCGTTGGAGCAAATTACAGGAGTCGTATCGCGCAGAAACCGCGATTCGCTGCTACAGCACCCTCGACGTGAACAGACGTGGTCCATTGGGTTTGTTGACGGCCGCGTTGGGAACTGGCGCTTTTCTCGAAATGATGTCCATCGCGGATGGCGTGGCGTTGACGCGGACGCGCGTGCGTGTGACGCCGGCGAGTTTGGAGCTCTTGCTGCGGAGCTGCGGCCGGGTGCTCTCTACCGCCATCGAAACTCGCCTCACACGTGCGGAGGACGCTACGCAGCCTTATCGTGCGATGTGGCTGAAGGTGGGACACATCGGTTGCCTCTTTGGGCAGCGAGATGTGCTGCGCTCCCTGTGGTTACGGTGTAATGGCGGGTGCTCCTACGCGGCGCAGACCACAGCAAATGGGCTGCACGCCCTCGAGCTGCTCTCGGATCCTTTTGAACCTGCGTTGCTGACCATCTTAAACAAATGTGCGGCATTGCGTGAGTATTTATTGTGGGCCCGCTTTATGCAGTGCCTCGCCATGAAGGCGGCCGGCGATGACGTCGAGACATCGCAGCTGTGCGTGGAGCTTCGTCACGCCGGCAGCTGGGTGGGGGCCTGGTCAGAGGCGTTGCTGGCCTACGTGAAGGGTGACAGCGATCGCTGCGTGAAACTTTGCGACGAGCTTCTTCGTGGTCACGCGGCACTTACTTCCGCGGTGGGAGGCGAGGAAGGTGCAGCGGCACCGCGAGGACATCTGGCGCGTGGTGCCTCCGTCATCTCCCTCGCCTCCTCAGCGGTGGAGACGACCAACAGTACGCCACCACCTCCGCTAACCTCATCGACCTCAGCTGTCACGACACCAACGGCATTCTCCACGTGTTCCACGGTGGACCTGAACCGGATTCGCAGTCTGAAGGAGCTTGCCCTCCGACCGAAGGAGTGGTTGCCGCATCTCAACGCCGCTGAAGAAGAAGCGGCCACATCTGTTGTTGTTTATGGAGACGCAGACCGCGTGAAGGAGGCGGCCACGGAGCAGCAGCAGAGGGACCCCAAGATGCGTAGCGTGCGGTGTTTACCGGTGCGTCGTCTGCCGTTTCGTGTTGTGCGACGTATTTTGTCCTACTGCGACGCGCGCACGCTGCTCCACGTCCATGGCGCCACCAAGATCCCTCTGCTCCAGTGGATCACGCTGGCCCGTATCAAATGCCTGCCTGCAACGCAGTGGACGCATCTGTTGACGTCTAACGTGGGTTATGAACCGCTGATGCACTCTCTCTGCAAATTCGTTCCGCCTCCGACCCCGTCGCGGGAGGAGCGAGAAGCACAGATGGACAGCGAAGAAGTCGTGGCATCTGTTCTTGCATCGCGGGCAAGAGAATCGAAGGGGGATGCGGAGACGCGGGCTGGGGCGGCGGTGGCCACAGCGTGCCCCCCGTTCCAGCCGCTTTGCCTGTCCGTCGTGGATATCGACGATCTAAGCCACTTTTCTGTCAAGGCGGTGACGCTGGCGCACAAGACGGCGCAGCGTGAAATCGTCGCCGAGGAACCGCTTACGGTGGCTCAGCGCCTGCTGCAAAGTCTCTTCGGTCGCGCGACTTCCCTCATCAACGCGTCGAAGTACTTGGTGCTGTCGCGTGTCTACCGACTCACCGCACAACCCAATGAGCCGGACATTGCCAACGCGGATGTGTCGAGGTGGTCGTGGGAGGCCGTTCAGCAGTGGGAGGTGGATGTCCACGAGACGATCCGTTGGTGCACCTACGCGCAGCAACACGCGGAAGCAGAAAGGTTGTTGTAAGCGCATGAAAGGGAGCGTCCTGCCGTTGTCTCTTTCCCACTAGAGTTTTCGTTTTCTTTACTAATTCTTTTCTTTTATGTGTTGTCGTGTGTCTTGCCTTCGTGTGGCCTCGCCGTTTCCTTACGATGCCTTTCTTTGTGGCCTGTTTTACTCTGCTTGTGTTACGCTTACTTACACAAATCTACGCTTTTCGTTCATGCTCGATGCAAACGTGGCGTGCTGAGTGGCTCACATCTGGCAATCGTGTTACGATGTGCAGAGGGAGTGAGCTTCATTAAATATATTTATATAGATATATATAGATATGTATACAAATCGTCTGCTGTCCCAAGTTGTGCACCCTTTTTTTTTTGAACGGGCGTGAATTCCTTTTACAGCTGTCGACGTGTCTGTTGATGGCAGAGACGCGCGTTGCCGTTTTCAGACAGTTTGCCTCTTCCTCGCAGCGGCCCTCTCTTGCTGATCTGAGTCCTTCCCTTTCCTGCTCCTCTTCTCGTTTCCTTTTGCCTTGATGGCGTCAAGTACGTTCACACGCGTGCAGTTGGCGCGCAACGGTGGAAACTCTCGAATGGTTGGCATCATTATCTAGTGCACACACAAGTGAAGAAAGACCGGTGCCTATCGCTGTATTTCTCGGTGTTGTTTTTCTTTATATTCCTCGATATCTTTTTTTCGTTGCTGTTGCATTTCTACTTCACTGCGCGGCAAGAGCGCTTCCATTCCTTCTGCCCCCTTTTTATTAGTATCGCGCTCGCCCTTTCGTTGAAACACGATGATTGGTGCTACCAAAGCGCGGGGAAACCTCTCCATTTACCCCCATGCGGAGGAGGTGGAGCTGCGCGACGGGGAAAAGATGGCCGCCATCTTCTCGACCACGGGCCGCCGCAATGAAGCGCTCGAGGATGCGGAAGATGAGATAGCAAACGATGCGGAGCAGCAGCTCCCCACGGTGGCCAGTCCGCTGCGTCGAGGCGGTGCCGGCCTCGCTACTTCTCAACAGCCCAATGGAGCGCAGCGAGCATCGAATGGCAGCGTGCAGGACGGCACTACCCACGCCACACAACGCACAGTGCGCTATCACTGCTACGACATGTATGGTTTTCGCGTGACCGCCGAGGAGAAGGCGGCGGAGGACTTCGCCAGGCACCATTTCGAGCACAGCGAGAGCGACCTGGAGAGCTGGGAGTACATCGTCACCCACTGGAAGTCGGCCAAGGTTGCTGAACTCAAACGACTGTGCCGCCGTGGCATTCCGCAGCCGCGGCGGCTGGTGGTGTGGCAGCGACTGTTACGGTCCTGGGGATGGAAGCAGCGTTACCTAGGTCTATACGCTCGTCTGCGGAGCCAAGAGATGGCGTCGAAGGAGCTTGCCGGTGTGATTGAGCGCGATCTCGACCGCACGTTTCCTACGCACCGCCTCTTTGCGGATGGCGTGAACGGGCGGGGGCAGCAGATGCTGCGGAACATTTTGCGGGCCTATGCGAATCACAACCCGAAGGTGGGCTACTGTCAGGGAATGGGCTTCCTCGCAGCGACGCTGATCCTTCAAATTGAGGAGGAGGAGGACGCTTTTTGGGCTTTTGTCGGGTTAATGGAGGGCAAGAAGTACAGGATGGCGGCCGTTTTCTCGCCTGGATTCCCAGAGCTGCAGAGCGCTTTCGCTGTTTTCGAGGGCCTCATGAAGAGGAAGATGCCGTCCTTGTACAAGCATCTGCATGACAAATACCAAATACATCCATCCTTCTACTCCACCCATTGGTTCATGACGGTGTTCACCTACTACTTCAACTTCGGACTCATCTCGCGCATTTGGGACATGTTCCTGTGTGAGGGGTGGAAGCCGGTGTACCGCATTGCACTGGCGCTGGTACATATTGAGGAACGAAACCTGCTCCGGCTGCGCACCGAGACGGAGCTGCTGCTTGCGTTGAAGGTGATACAGGAGGCGAAGCGGCCGGAGCAGCTGCTCAAGGTGGCGCTAGGCATTAAATTCAAGACATCCGTAATGAACAGGTTGGCTGCGGAGTACCAACAGCAAACAAAGCCGAAGTAGAGATGCAACCGAATACGGTTGCCAGACTGAAAAGAAGTTGTTGTTGCTTTTGAGAGCTGTGCCCGTCACCTCTTGTTCTTGTTCGCCTCGCACTCCCGTTAAATCGGAGAAAACGTTTCTACAATTACCTTGTGCAACTACGCGATGAATCGCCACATCTATCTTTCGCTTTTTGTTTTTTTGCTTGCTTTCGCCTTCTTCGATCCCTCTCATTTTCTTTTTTCCGATCTTCCTATAAGCCAGTTCAATCGCGTTCTGCTGCGCAACAGCGTCTCTTCTTGTCATCATATGTGCACTGCGAGTCAAAAGCGTCTCCTACGAGCTGCTTTTAGATTGCGATGTTTTCTGTGGGTCGCCCCTTTGTTTCGGTCTTATTTGTCCATCTGCTACTACTGTTTGCGTTCGCATTTCAAAACAGGCAGGTAAAGAAAGATAATAAGTAGAAAAACGTTGAACTAAGGATGCAAGGTAGCTGCGAGTGCAAAGATGTTCGAAGTTACGTAAAGGGTTCCATGTTGACGACGTTGTTATCCTCACAACGACCGCTGAGCTGGTCTTTCATGCAACGGCAACCGTTCATCTACAAAATCGAAATGGCCCGTACGCTTTCCCTTCACTCCTTGTCTTTTAGCGCAACTTACATTGTCTGTTTCCTTTGCCTCTCCTCTTCCTTTTTTTTTTCCTTTTTTCTCGTTCGATGCAGCTGTCCATCGGTAGCGCAACATGATCACACACACACACACACACACACACACAAGCTTATTGGAGAACATCTACTGCTAGTGATCGCGAAAGAGGTTTTTTTTTGGAGGTGTGGCTTTGCTCTTTCTCCAACCGACATTCGTGCCCTTTTTTTTTCGGTGGCCTTGATCCAATTCGGCTGCTTTGTTTTTTTCTGCTCTGAACCGGCACTGACCGTTGTCTCCGTAACTGGATTGGCTTCTGTGTCGGTGCGTCTTTTCTTCTCTCCTGCCGTTGAAGTGACAAAACGGGAACGTGGCAGAGTACAATGGATGAAGGCAGCGCCTTCGTGACGGACGACGTCGACAACTCACGACGGTCGCGTGAACTCGACAGTTCCTCCCTCCACATCTCCGCCCTGCGCGAGGACAGGGCAGTGGCATCCGCGTCTCTGCTGACGCGGTCCCCAAGGAATACCACTCCAACACTGCCGCAAGCAGCTCCCGCTGCCAAGGATGAAAGCAACGGCGACACGAACAAAAACTTGTTGACCGGGGTGGGGCGCGACTTCTCTGCCGCGTCCCCGCTTCCTCACGCAAACGGGACGCGGCGGGACGACTCTCCAGCCTCGCAATCCGGCAAGGTCGAGTTGGTCTCGTCACCGCTGCAGGTCGTGCCGGAGCCGGTCGGAGAGGTCCACATGAGCTCCGCCAACGCCGCGGCGATGTCAGGCGCGGCATCCGTCCCGTCTCCGTCCAGCTTCACCTCACGGCACGCCCCGCTTGTGCCGGAAAACCGGCACGTCGTGAAAGGGGCCGCGCTGCCGCAGCCGCTGCGCAAGAGCCAGCTGCGCGCCGCGCCGACCGGGGGCAGCGACTCCGACACCGAAGAGGAAGGCGGTAACGAGAATGACGCAGCGAACGCGAACGGAACGGCCGTGGGCCTCGACAGCGTCCTCGATGCCGAGGAACAGGAAGCGGAGCGGCAGTTCGTGGACGAGTTTGGCTTCGTCATCGACGAGGACGCGAAGGCGAGAGACGAGAAGTACATCCGTCGCATTGATGGCAAGCAGGTCGTGCGTCGCGAGATTAAGTGGGCGAACATGGCCGCGGACTGGAACCGGACGAATACGAGGATGCACGCAAAGCTGAAGGAGCGCTGCCGCAAGGGCATCCCCAGCCGGTTTCGCGGTGTGGCGTGGCAGCTGCTGCTCGGTTCCTTTCATCAGCTGAACTCTGACGGAAACGCCGGCGTGTTTGTCGCGCTGCGGGATAAGACACTCGCCGATAAGGAGGTGGACGCAATTATTTCGCGAGATCTGGCCCGCACCTTCCCCAACCACGTCCTCTTTCAGGACGCCGGCGGTGCAGGGCAGACGTTCCTGCGCAACGTCCTTCACGCCTACGCGGGCAGCGACCCTGAGGTGGGCTACGTGCAGGGCATGGGCTTCCTTGTGGCGGCGCTCTCTACGCAGATGGGCGAGGAGGAGTCCTTCTGGGCGTTGCACGAGATGATGTTTAATGAGCGCTACAAGATGCGGGAGCTCTTCCGACCAGGCTTCCCCCTCCTTCAGCAGTTCTTCTACCAATTGAAGCGGCTCATCGCGCGACTGCTGCCGAAGCTGTCGCGGCGGTTGGACGAGTTGGAGATTCAGCCCTCCTACTACGCCTCACAATGGTTTCTCACGCTGTTCGTCGCCCACTTCCCTTTCCGCGCCTTGCTGCGCATTTGGGACATCTTCTTCTCCGAGGGGTGGAAAATCATTTTTCGTACTGGCATTGCGCTGATGAAGTGGGAGGAGTCGCATCTCCTGTCGTTGCCGTTCGAGGAAATACTGCCGGCGCTGAAAAGCTTGCAGGACAACAGGGACGCTCGCGAGCTGCTGCGTCGGGCCCACCGCATCAAATTCAAGACGGTCGAGCTGAACCGCTACGGTGACGAGTACTGGGAGAAGATCGGGGTCGTTCATCGGGATTAGACGGAAGAGAACACACCCATACACCCACACGTTACTGACTTCTTTTCCCTTGTAGTCACCGGAAGAAACAAGGAGGCGGAGCAAACAAACGGACAGCTGCCTTTGAGTTGAGTCGAGGGAATACTCAATGGCTTTTTTCTCCACCTCATTTACAGGACGGGTCACCCGGCCAAGTGTCAATGTTGTTGTTACCGGTCATCCCTCTTGTTTAGCGAAATTCGTGCTTTTTCCTCCCTTTTTTTTCCTTTCTTCGGAGGCTCTCTGACGCTTGAAAAAAATGCATCTAGCTTGTTCCATCTCGCTTTAAGCGTCGACCCCTGAGTTGCATTTATATATATATATATATATCTATATATATTTGTTCAGTTTTTGCTTGTGAATTACCACCCACATATTTCGAAATGAGTGGCCGAAAACAAGAGAAAGGCGAAGGAGTGTTTACAGCCGGAAAGGATTCGGCGTAGTGCATGAGAATCAAAGAACTTCTCGTGTGCCTTTTTTTGGATTTCTATATGGATTTAGCAGCTCGACACACAGGCGCACGTACCGTACCGTTCATCTTGCTTGCGCACCTGCGAGCAACGAGGGCCAATGCTGTTGCGTGCTGCCACTGCACGGGACCCCGAACGGGTTCTCGTCTGTCTATGCGTGACATCGTTCGAAACTGCTTTCCATCCTGTTCTTTCTCTGTTGTTTTCACTCCCTTTGCTTTCCCACTATTTTGGGAGTGCAGACATCACATCTTCGTTTTCGGAGGTGTGACGCCGGGCATCAACGCGAGGTCCATAGCAGACATATAGCGTTCCCCCCCCCTTACGTCGATGAAGATGTTGCTTCACGGCTGTTGACTCCGATATCTTTTTTTTTCTTCTGGGAAACAGCTTTATCCTCCCACGAATGTGGTCGTCTTCCGCGACGCACAAATCAGGTGAGGACCGTCCCCAGACACGAGACACATTGCCCGCTGCTGGTGTTTTAAATTGCGTTTCGCCGCAGGAGTTGTACAGGTGTGTGACGGAGGAGTACCACCGGAGTGGAATCGCTGTCGAGCAGGAGCGCGGCCGTATTGCGGCAATCGTGCAGGCAACTTTACCAAACAGTGTGTCTCGGGCGGCCGCGCCGCCACGCGGCATCTTTGCGGATCGGATGCAGCGAGACGAATTGGCGGATTTGGAGGGCATGTCCAGTGTGGCTCAAAAGCTGTCGTTCCTGACGCAGAATCCGGTAATCTCTGCTATGGAGCTTCGCATGGCGGATCGACATTGCCTCGACGCGACTCGCACCCTGGAGGGCCTGACTAAACCTCCTCTAATGTGAGCTTTCCTCTTCTTCTTTTTTTTCCCCTTACCGCTGCTATTGAAACCAACAGCCTCTTTGTGTGGCTGCTGCTGCACACTTCCTCTGCTAGTTATATTGTTCGCGTATTAACGAGAAAAAACTTGTGTCTATTGACTTGGGGACTTCCGTGACCTACAAAATTAAGTGATTTGCGTCTCCATTATTACATTCGCTCGTTGCCAAGAGAAAATATGGGCAGTTACACATGCGAATCGACGGTTGATGTTGAGTATCGCCTTTTCTCTCCATTCCCTTTTGACTTCCTTCTTGTTCTTGATGATGTTGTGCGTGGCCTCACGACAAATAAACCTTCTTCGGTTGAGAAAACGATTTCTTGTTTTTCTTTGGGTTTGAGTAGTAGAGGAGCGCAGCTTCTTTTGTGTTAAGAGAAGCCCTTTTTTTTTTTCTGTTTTCACGTTGAACCGTTGTTGTTGAGTTGACACCCCGTGCGTCTTCCTTCCCTGAAGTTCGTTGTTCTTTTTTTAAATCGCAGTCGGTATCCCCCTCCCCCCAAGGAGAAGGACCCACAGCAGTGCGAGACAGCTGGGCCAAAGTACCTTTACGGCCCCAAAGAATCTTTTTTCTTCTTCTCACATACCGAAAGGTCGAGAGGAACTCTTGTCACACACACACACACACACACACACAAAGATCCCCAAGAAGAAAAAAGAAAATGTTGTTCAATATTCGTGGTGCGATACAAAAGGAGGAGAAGGTGAAGAACCAAATGACGCTCGCCGACATCCTCGCCTTCCGCGACACGTGGAAGCAGATTCCAGAGCCGAACTTCTCCCTTGAGCGCGTGCTGCTCACGGCCCGCATGGAGAAGCAACGCAAGGCGGAGATCCCGAAGCTGGTGATGACGGACAACGGCTTCCGAATCCGCGACAAAAAGGACATGGATGAGTCGGAGCTGGAGCTGCGCCGCGTGCAAGGCTCGTTGAACAAGCTGACAGACAAGAACTTCGACGCAGTCGTCGAGGAAATGCTCTCGCCTGACCTCGTGCTGAACCCTATCGTGCTGAAGGGTGTGGTGGATATCATCTTCAACAAGGCCATGGCCGAGCCCGTCTTCTCCGGCATCTACGCCCAGCTCTGCCAGCGCATCAACGTGTACGAGCAGGAGCTCGTCGCGGAGGCCGAGGCGAACCCGGAGTCGGAGATCGGCAAGCGTGTGGCAGCCCGGCGTGAGGCGGACATGGCCCAGGGCAAGCAGCCGACCAGCGGACGCGTGCGCACCGTTCTCATCTTGCGCTGCCAGATGTTCCACGACAACTTCGTGAACCAACCGACGTTGTCTGACCCCGAGGCGGCCGAGCAGCTCCGCAAGCGCAACATGGCGAACATCAAGTTTGTCGGCGAGCTGTACATGCGCTCGCTCATCTTCCACCGTGTCATTCTCGCCATTTGCTCGACGGCGCTGGTGTTGAACTTCGTGGCGAGTTCGAAGATGGTGACGACCGACGTCGACCTCGAGCTGGTGGTGAACTTGATGAACGTGATCGGCAAGAAGTTCGACGAGAACGCGTCGACGGCGCTGCATAACGTGGCGAAGGACGCGCCGAGCTCTGAGCACCCGCACGACACGATCTGGCGCGCGCTGAACTCGGCGATGAATGACCCGCGCTTCTCGCGTCGTATTCGCTTCCTCATCCAGAACCTACTCGAGTGGCGCAGCGAGGGCTGGAAGCCCAAGGAAACGCCGGCACAGGGCACCTCCGGCGGCGACGGGGAGGGCAACGAAGCCAACACCAACAGCAGCGAACGCGCTCAACATCGCCCTGCTGGCGGCAACGCCGGTGGGCAAGGCGGCGGCAACATGCACCGCAACCCCTCGAACAGCAACATGAGCGGCGGGCCGAACAGCAGCAGCGGCAGCTCGTGGCAGCATCAAAACGCCAACAACAACCGCGGCGGTGGCGGGAACAACAATCGTGGAATGCCACGCGCCAACAGCATGGTCGAGGGCGGCGATCCAAAATTCAGTCGCGGTGGCGCCGCCGTCGCCGGTGGCAACCGCCAGGACCGCGTCGTGAGCTTCAACGACCTGAGCCAGTTCTCGAACTCGAACAGCGACTACATGATGCCGCCACCACCCTTCAACGCGCCGCAGCCCTTCGGCGCGCCCCCGCCGCCGTTCCCCGGCGATGGCGTGACCCCTTCGGTGCCCCCGCAGGCACCGCAATCGGCAGCGCAGATGAGCGAGGAGGACCGCAAGCTGATGGCGTTGGCGATGCCGCCGAAGTGTATCGACGACGATCTCACCTCGAAGGTGCTGAGCGCGATTCGCGACTCGGCCATCGACGGGGACTGGACAGCAGCGGGCAAGGTCATCGTGGAGCTGGTGCCGCAGGACGCCGCCTACATGTGTCGCATGTGCGCTGCCTACATCGTAGTGAAGAAGATTACTGAGACGCCGTCGGACGACGACCGCAAGCTGTTCACCGACTCACTGAACAGCGGCATGTTCGACGTCAAGGAGCTGACCCGCGGCTACTCGTGGTTCCTCACAAATGCGGTGGCCAACAACGTCAAGGAGGACTTCCCCCGCGCGTACAGCCGCTTCGTCGCCTGCGTGGCGGCGACGACCTCGATGGATTTTTTGTCGATGGTGAGCAACGTGATGGCCCGGACGGCGAACTACCTCGACGCGCTCTACGTCCCGCTTGAGGGGGCGGAGATGGAGTGGGAGGAGGATTTCCTCGAGGTGTGGACCTCCATCCTGGAAACGTGGAAGGCGACCCACCCCGGCTCCCAGGAGAGGCCGAGCGAGCTTCTCAACTGCATCGCGTCTGTCAAGCAGCGGCCCTTCATGAAGGACATTTCTTCCGATTTTATGATGGAGCTGCTGCAGCAGGGCTTCATGGCAGAGGCGGACGTGCAGAAGTGGATCGCGGAGAACAACTCCAACGAGAAGTACCGGGCGTTTGTGGCGGAGATGACGCAGCTTTTCCCGGAATCGTGAGATCAGCGGACTTGAAGTGAAGGGACACGTTTCCGCCCGTCTCACTTTCGTTGTGCAACGTCTTCGGCTTTTACTCTTGCCTGTCTTCCTCACGGGGCTTTTCGTCTTTTATGTTTACGCTGGTGTCTCGCGTCGTCCTGTGCTGTGTGTCGCGAAGTCTCGACCGACGCACGCTGCCCCGCGAAGCGTGCGTATGCGCGTAGCACTTTTCCAATCAAATGCTTTAGGTCATCGCGATGCAAGCAAGCATCCAGTCTTTTTTTTTCCCGTTCTCTTTCTTTCCTTCTCGTTTCCATCAGAACGCCTGCGCACGGCGATAACAAGTGTGTGCTTTCTTCTTTTAATGTTCTTTTTTTTTTCTTCTTTTAAGTTTAATACTTCCAATTGAACAATGCAGCCCGGTCTCAGCACACGCGGTATCTCAAAAGTGGTGCACGTACCTCCGAGAGCCGTCTCTTTGCTCTTCCTGTTCTTCTGTGGCGATATGTGAGGAAGAACAATGCGTTCTTTTCTGTGTTGGTTTTCTTTTTTCAAAGCAGATCGCGAGCCACAAAAAGAAGTACGTGCGTTGTGATGAGACGTGCACTCCGCCCTCCGTCGAGGTACTGTTGTACACAACCACACTTTTCTTTTTGCTTGCTGAACTCCATCGAAGCGTCATCCTTCTCTGGAAAGCCATATACTTGGCTTCGCTGCGTGTCCTCCACGTCCGCTGTCTTTCTCTGTTGTCTTTCTCTCTCTCTCTCTCTCCCTTTTCCTTGAACATCCCAACGTTCACTTTCACAGAGAGGCTGTTGAAGCTTCCGTACTCCTTATTGGGAACCGCTGATTTGTAGACCGATTCGGCCACCGGCACCCCACGACGCACCATGTTGCAGCGCACGGTGGTGGTGCTCAAGTCGCAGCACAAAAACGTGCTCCGCAAGAGTCGGCCGCACATGCAGAAATACAAGGAGCTCAACCGATGGCAGCGGGAGGCGCAGGGCATTAGCAAGTGGGATCAGTCGCACTCCCACCGGCCGCAGCCGCACGTGGAGCGGTTCAACCCCGAAGGCGTCGGTCTCACTCGCGGCACCTCGGCCTTTGCGTGGAAGTGGTGGCACACACAGTACCCGTGGCTCCCGAACGTGGCACCGGCGGACTACGCGACTCCTGTTCCCCGCGGCATCCGGCCGCCCGCCTGGGATGCGGAGTTTGCCGACGTGGTGCTCAGCATGGACAGTGAGGAGATTCGCAGCTATCTGGTGGACAAGCTGACGGAGGTCATCTTTGCTGAAACGCAGCGCGACGGCTACGAACTGCGTCGCCTCGACTTCGAGGGCAAGCCGCTGACCGCCCTGCCAGAGCGCCGCATTATTGAGAGCTTTGTGTTTGAGGAGGAGACGCTGCGGGAGCGCGTACTGGACCAGGTGGTGGAGGGCATCTTTCGTCTGGCACCTACCTCGGCCGACCGCCAGGAGCTGAAGAGCGTGGCGAACGTGATTGATTTCGTGCTCACCCACGTCACCTTGGCACGCGAGCCGGAGCGGTACGTGGTGACCGCTGCAGCCCGTGCCGTGATGCGCTCGCACCCGTTGCAGCCGCAGCTGGGTTTCGCGCACGCACTTCCCACCGACAACCGCGACGCCATTGTGCGGGAGTGGGAGCGCAGTCATCATTTGGATTGGCAGTTCGGCCACGCCGTGTACGAGCCGCGAAACGAGGAGAAGGTGGAGGGCAACCTGACGTGGCTGCGCGAGGTTCGCCACAACGAGGCACGGGAAGCTTTCCAGGCGGACGTCGACTCCGGTGAGGCACGGCGACGGCACATGGAAAAGATCCAAGCCGCCGCTCGGGTGCAGGCAACGAGTCCATCGGAGTGAGCGAGGGAAAAACAGAGAAGATACGGGCATGCCTGTTTGTGTTCGAAGTATTGTTTCGCGTCCTGTTGGGCAGAAGAGGGTGTGGGGTCTTTGCGCTGTAATTTTCACACTGGTCAAAACAGAACGCAGAGCGACGTGACACGAAAGAAGCAAGTTTTTGTTCCCCCAATTGGAAAACGGATGCACGTGTTCGCACTCGAGCCTTGCCTCTTTTTAATGTAAGGCTGTTCGGTGCAACGGGAATCGAATGCTGTGTGTGCGGTTTAAAGGGGCGATGGTGAACAATCCACACCGATAAGCATCCCCGTAATTGCTTACGCATGAGTTGTTTGCCCTTGCGCTTTTGTAACTTTCCGGCACACGTGTTCCTTCTCTCTCTCTTTCTTCTGCGTGTGTTTCTCGATAATTAGAAACTTTCCACATAATTTCTTCGCAGCAAAGGTGCGCATTGCAGCCACACGCTGTCCCTTCGTATTTTGTAGTACTCCTCCGTCACACAGAACTGTCTCCTTTTTTTTTTTGGGGGGGGTCTGTCTCTTTTTTCATTGCCGATATCGAGAGGGAATTCTTCTAATGAACCGGGTAGCTGAAGACAGAGGCCTCGTCTCTACAGCGGACGAGGCAGTCATGAGCTCGTCCTACCACTCGGCGATTACCAGAAATTCCATCGGGAATCAGCTTCCCACGCTTTCCGCGTCGAACAACGGAGTACCGTATGCAGAAGTGCAAGCGCCGACTGTTGCTGCTGATGCTACCTCCATGAAAGACGCCGCAGCCGCTGATGCTGACCCGGAGTTGCTCGAGCAGCAGCTGCAGCTTATTCAACTTTGTTTTGCCGAGCACGAATTTGGCATCGTGGTCGATGAGAAGGGCGAAGAGGTGGGCGGATCTTCTTCTTCGTCTTCGTCCGACAGAAGTAGCAGCGAGTCCACGCAGGAGGAGTCCGGAAGCGGTTCAGGGGCGGTGCCCTTCTCGTCACCTGCGGCGCGGAGAGGCCGCCGCAGCCACCGCTACTCCGCCTACGATCCGCTGAGTTTCGTGAGGGGAAAAGTTCAGCATGGCGTGCCGTTGACCGTCCTGTCGCAGGATTTGCACTCCTACGCGCAGTACCTCGAGGACAAGATCGCAGAATGCGTCAACACGGACGTGCACACCGCCTTCGTGAACGTCTCCAGTCATCTTGTGGGCATGCGTGATGAGCTGTCATACATGGAGCGGCCCCTCGCCGTCGCGATGGAGAAGCTATCGGGTGCCGTCGCCCAGCTCTCAACGACCTCGCTTGGCGTGAAGAACGAGGTGGAGGCGGCGTGTGCCGCGGAGATGGAGCGCTACTTCGACGCCGTGTACTTGAAAGGCGTGGTCGTGTACGAGACGATCGCGTACCAGTTGGACGATTTAGCGCAGCTGCTGCAGATTACTGTGGACGCGACACCGTCACGGTCGCCCGCCATTGCCGCGACAAAAGGCACCACCGCTAACGGCAGCTCACGAAACCTCTCTTCTGCAGCCCACGAAGCCACCTCAAAGGGCAGCAGTTTAAGGAAGGAGACTTTCACCATCGCTGCTGGCACACAGCTCTCCGATGCAGCGCTTGACATCCTCGAGGACGTCGTGCTCCTCTTCCAGGAGTTGAAAGAGGTGTGTCAGCGCCTTGTGTCACTGGCGTCGCGTCAGCAAGAGAAGGCGGACATGGCGGACTACGTCGCTGCGGCAGAGAGGTCGGTCATGGGAGTGTTGGAGGTGGTGCTGGGGCACGTGAGCCGCATGACGTTCGGCGTCCTTGCGGCTGCAGATGCAAAGACAGGTGTTAAGTCAACTAACTCCCCAGAAGTAGAAGATGCGGCACCATCACCCGCTGCCCGTCAGCTGCTCGGCCGCGTCATTGAGCTGTACGGTCAAGCAGGCGAACGGGAACAGTTCAGCGCGGTGTTCCGCAATGCGGTTCTGCGGCCTCCCTTGGAGGCGGTGGTCTCGTGGAAGGCGGCCACACAAGCACGCCAGAGCGCGGAGGGCACGGTCGCGTTGCTGGAGCAGATGAAGACGGTGTTGCGAACCAAATTTCTCCCGCTGCTGCCGCTGCTGCGCGAGAGCTACGGTGCGCCGTTGCACCCAGTCGCGACGATTGTGTGGCCCATCCTGAGCGAGACGCTCGTGAAGAAGCTGCCATCGCTTTACGAAGTCGGCATCCCGAACCACTTCCAGATCAAATACAAAGCGGCGTACAGCGTGTTGGCGATGGCGGAGGCCGCCTGCGCCGACCTCGCCGAGCTCGCCGTTCTGCGGCAGTCGCCGGATGTGGTGCTGTGGAACCACAAGTGGAACCTGGACGTGTACGCGGCGCTGCGGGTGAGTGAGGTGGATAAGGCGCTGCAATCCGTGGCCTCTCCTCTTGACCGTCTGCCGCCTTCCACAGAGGGCGGTTACCACCTCCGTCTGTTCTACATTGTACAACACCAGCTGCTGCATTTGTTTTCCCCAGCAGTGTATTTGTACCTGTGCACTCCGCGCTTCTTGCGGCAGACGGTGGCCTGCTGTTACCGTGTGCTGCAGCGTGTGCAGGAGGCGATTGCGAGGTCGCCAGCGGTGGCCGTTGCAAATACTGCGAATCAAACGGAGGACAACGGTAGCAAAAGCAGTAATGCCAGCCCAGTCGATGGAGCGACACCAGCAACGGACGCAGCTGCTGCGGCGGCCGCCTCGGCTGCGAGCGAGACGCTTCTGCTTGCCATTGCCGATGCCCACGTCTTGCGTAGTTTCCTCACGGGCGAGCTCCTGCCACTCATACTGGAGCGCTTGTGCGGTGAGACAGGCGAAGCTGCCGCCGCTGCAGCAACGCAAAATTCTTCCGCACTACCGACGTCAGAGCGCACTGCCACAGCGCTTGTCACCGACGTGATCGACTTTGCGAGCAGAACCGTCTGCGGTCAGTTCGTGCAGCACGCCCGCGCGACGCTGGTGCGCCAAGTCACGGACGACTCGACGGGTCCGCTGCAGAACGTCAAGTCGGTGCGCTCCGCCTACTCCCACACGCGCAAGACGATGCCGTCCGCGGCGTCGTGGTACGTCGCGCCGGTGTTGCAGCCATTGCGTCATTTTATGGAGGAGGCGGAGCGTTGCGGCTTTGCAGGGGCCGCACTCGAGGAGACCGTTGCGGAAATACTCCGTGTGATCGTCAAGCAGTTTGTGGTGTTGGCCAAGGACACGCTCATCACCGCGAAGAAGACGGAAGAGAGCTGGGAGAAGTTGCGGCGGCGCAAGGAGGGCACCGCAGCCTCGCCAGTGGCGGGGGAAAGCGGTGCGGCGGAGGCAGCAGCCGGGGAGGGCCCCGCCACAGCGGTGGCTCCTGGTCAGCGTGTGACGGTGGAGACGGCAACGGACCGCGATAAGATGACGATTCAGCTGTGGATGGACGCACGTGCGTTGTGGCAGGCGGTGCAGCAGCCGCCGCTGAACGTGGCGGAGGCCGCGGCGGCAACGGCGTTTGCGCCTGCGTTTGAGTTGCTGCGTCGCGCGGAGTGGATCCAAGGCGCGGACGTCCCTGAGCCTCCCGACGTGGACGCGTAACACGACGGCGATGGAGAGACGGAGGGAGGAGATAATGATGGTTTTGTTTTATTTATAAGGTGCGCTGATCAGTCAAACACGCCTGGGCTGTTGCGTTCGTGTTCTTGTGCTCTCTCCCGGTTTATCTGTTTTCTGTACATTGTGCGTTTGGAGTTGCATTCATACCGAACTTGATGCCCCCTCAGAAAGAAAAAGCTCTCTGTTTCCGCACTCAGGCTTCTTGATTTCTCCTTCTTTGACCGCGCTATCATGTTTTCAAATTGGAAGGCTGCTTTTACTGGCCATACACAATCAGCGCATGTTTCTCGCTGGGAAACAAAGAGGTCTAAAAGCGCCGTTCTTTTTACCCGCTTCCTTCGCTCTTCACTGTTTCTCTCTCTACGCTTTCTTTCAACATGTTGCTTTGTTTTCCTTTTACATTCGCAAAGGATTCGTTGATTGGACAAAAACACTGCGACGCTGTCTGGCAGACGCAAGCGGTAGACAAAAAAAAAACGCTTCGAGGCAGTTCGCTTTCGTTCTTTCTATCCTTCTCTCATAATCCGTCACCCTCTGGAAAACAGGAAAAGTAATCAGGATGAGTTCGATCGAGCCATCCGCGGCTGCAGAGACCGCGGTGGGGACGACCTCGACGCATTTGGAAGAGGTCCGCGACCGTCTTTGGGGCGCGCTGCGTGTGACGCACGAGCAAAGAAGCGGCGCAGCAGAGCCAGACAACGGCGAGGAAAGCAAGCTGCAGGGTGGGCACATGGTGGACCGAATGCCCTCCGATGTACATACAAGTCCCACAACACCTGCAGCACCGCTAGAACTGACGCGTGTGGACATGGAGCAGCTGATCTCCTGTGTTTACTGCGCCGTGCACATCAACGCCACAGCACAAGATTCTCAAGATGCGGCAACGTTGGTGTTAAAACAACTAGACACCGACTTGCTTGAGCCGCGTGCTTCCGTCGAGGCACCATACACGCAGGTGGACGTCGTGACGTTCTTAAACAGCGTACCTTCTCTCTGGCTCCCGGACTTGGTGGCGGCGCAGGAGGAGGCAGCGCAGCTCAGCGGTGGCAGCTCATTGCTGGAAGACTTCAATCTCGAGCTGATTGACTGCATCGTAAATGACGAGGAGCCGCACAACCTTCTCGAGCCAGCGGAGGTGCTGACCCTTCAGCGGACCACGGCCGCCATCGAGCTTGTCGCTCCGTACACAGACTACATAACGTTGTCCTCGATGCACGGCTATCCGCCCGTGTACGACACGCTCTTCGCGAAGCTGCGCAGCTTAGATGAGCGCAGCGCCGGCGGTCTTTCCTTGTCGCAGTTCCGCCTCTTCTTCCACTGGTTTTATGCCATGCACTTCCGCAACACGAACTTGCCGCGGTCCAACGCGGCCGCCGACGACATCTACCAGCGCTACCTCGACTCACACGGCGACTTGACGATCACGCAGTTCCGGCTCGCCTGCGAGGAGATCTGCGCCGTGTACGTGCAGATTCGTGACGCCGCCCCTTACTTGCAGCAGCTTGTTCAACGGACAGAGAGTGTCAGGTCAGAAGGCGGCACGCCAAGTCAAGACAACAATGCCTGCTCTTCTGCAGCAGACGCCGAGTTTTTTCTTCACCCGGAAAAGGCGACGCTGCCCGCCTGGCAACGTGATCTGATCGAACCCACGCAGCTCTACCTTCCAGATGAGCTACGTGTGGTGCAGCAGGAGGCCGAGCGCCACCGGCGCCACAGCAGCCCGCGCATTCTTCTCACCGGTCCGGTCGGGATTGGTAAAAGCGTCGTGGGGCGGCAGCTTGCCGACGCACTCCACTGCGTGCATCTGGATGTCCTCGAGTTGGCCTTCGAGGTGTTTCAGAGAAGGCGCCAAAGCTCCGTCGGGGACGTGATCGTTGCGTGTGTGCAGGAGCAGACGCCGGTTCCGCTCGAGGCGCAGGTCACGCTGCTTCGCGAGGCGATAACGAGTGAGCGGGCGCAGTACCGCGGCTACGTCTTGAGTGACACCATTACCTCCACCACCGACGCCATCGAACTGGTGGAGGAGCACTTTATTCGTCCGTTGAAAATACTGGAGGAGGCGCGACCCGACCACGTCGTGGAGCTGGTATGCGCGGAGCCGGAGGTGTACGCGGAGTACGCGACCACACGCACCGCGGTAGGTGTACCGGCGTGCGTATCCGCGTGTGCTGCGGTGGCCGCCAATGTAGAGAAACGCCGCCAGGCCGCGGAGAAGCAGCAGATGAAGGCGGACTGCGAGAAGATTCTCTTGCACTTGTTGGAGCTGGAGAGTGTGGCGCCGAAGAAAGGAGGTCCATCGGAGGAGTTGCAGCTGGCCCGGCAGCAGGCTGTGGAGGCGCAGGAGATCCTCGACGCACTGAGCGCGGAAGAAAACGAGGCAAGCGCAGAGGGACCGACGAGGGGGGACGCCTTCGAGAGCGCAGAAGAGGTGTCGTCGGAGGCGAAAGCCGCGCAGGAGAGCGAGGAGATTCGCCTTTGTCTTTGTGCGTTGATATACGAAGGCCGCAAAGCTGCCTGTGTGCTGGCAGTTGCGCCAGCCCCAGCGGCCGATGCATCAGCGGACGGCAGTGGCGAGCGGTCACCTGCCGACGCGATCGCGCCACTCACCACGCAGGATTGGACTTCCTGCTGGCGCAAGACGAGCGAAGCCGCTCGCCACCTTGGCCGGTACCTCTCCGTTGATCCCATTGCATCGCTTGACAGCACGCACGTGGTGTCGTACATTACGCATGCCTTTAACCTGTATCCCTGCGATCTTGCGGAGGTGCTCGGTGTACCGGGTGAAGAAACCGTGGATGACGCAGCGGCGTCCTCTGCTGCCTCTGATGCAGTTGTGGAAGCGCATGCCACCCGCGCCCGTCCCTCCTCGTTGGCAGACGATGAAGAGCGCTGTCGACTGGTCGAGGAAGTGGTGGCCGAGAAGGGGCTGAGACCGTCCCCGATTTGGAAGCGTTACTGCCCGGTGACGGCCGCCGTCGACGGCGTGCTAATCGAAGGCGCTGCGTGCTACGCGTGCGCCTATCGGGGCTGCTACTACTACTTTGCCTCCAGCTCCAAGCGGAACGATTTTGTCGACCACCCCACGCGGTACCTTCGCCAGGCTTTCCCGGAGCAGAAAGCGGTGCTGTTGCTCGCAGATGACGCGATCATTGCGACGCTGCCGGAGCTGCTTCAGCAAGTCGCCGACGATATCACCGTTCAATGTCGTCTCACACCGTTTTCTGCGTCGACGTTCGCTACGTTGATGGAGCCGCGGCACCTGCTGCTACAATCCCGCGCAGCTGCAAAGGATACGCGCCGCAAGACGGAAGCGGCCACCCGCAAGGCCCGCCACGAGCGACAAGAAATCGCTGCCAAGGCGCTGGCGAAGAAGTCGAAGGGCAGGCTCGAGCCCACCAAGCCGAAGACAAAGAAGCTGTCCGACTCGGTCGCACGCAAATCGCCTCTGCAGCCGACAGCGCCGCAGGCGCACAAAGGCAGTGCTGGCGGACGGCGTCGTGTACCGCGGGCGATGGTGGTCGAGGGCCCGCAGAGCATGGCAGAGGAGAAGCAGATCCTCATCGACGCTGCGAAGGACAAGATGGCGGAGGGCGCGCCGCTGCTGGTGACCGCAATAGCTGCGGCCGACCTCGACTTCACTCTCTTTCACAAGTTGTGGAAGCAGCAGGTGGTGCCGGAGACGGTGGTGGCCTTGAGCTTCCTCAAGACTGCCGCTGCCGATGGTGCGGCGGGGTCAACAGAAGAGGCGGGAGACGAGCAAGACGGAGACGAGGCGGATGATGACGACAGCAAAAATAACGAAGGAGAGGGACGCGGAAACGACTCCTCAACAGCAGCGTCGTCCGCATCCACGTTTCAGCGAATCGTGCAACTGCTGGAGAAACGCCCAAAGGTGGACTGGCGTACCGCGAAAGCAGAGGCCAGCCAAGGCGGCGCTGCCGTCGTCGCGCCGTCCTACGACATTCACACGATCCCTGTTGACGACTCTGCGATTGTCTCGGAGATCGTCGCCGAGGTGATGCAGCAGTTAAACCCGCTCTCCATTGTGGCCAGCGAGGACGCCGTGGATGAGGCACTCGGAGAAGAGGGCGAAGACGGCGCTGCGGAGGACGGCGACGAGGAAGACGAGGAGCAGGCGGCGGAGGACGAGGCACTGCTCTACCCGGACGAAACGCAGCGTCCCTCTGCTCTCCCTCGTGCGCGCCGCGACCCCCTTGTCAAGCCCATGCGCCGCTTTCTGCACCAGTTCGGCTCCCGCCTGGACTACTGCCCCGTCACGTTACACGATCGCGGCATCCTCGTGCGTGGCAGTCAGGAGTTCTGCCTGCACTACGCGGACGGGCTTTACATCTTTGCCACCGAGGACGCGCGCAACGCCTTTGCGCGGTGTCCGCAGCGCTACGTTGGTGAGCTGCCCCCGCAGGATGTGCCGCCGCGTATGTGGATCGTCGGCGTTACGCAGTCGGGCAAAAAGACGCTGGCTTCCGGGCTGCAGGAGGCGTACCGCGTGCCCTTCTTCGTGTATGACCGTCAGTTCTTTGAGGAGTGCGTCGACACCGCGTTGACGCCCGGTGGTGGCATGGTGCGCGGCGTCTATATCCCTGAGGACACGACGGAGGCGAACCCGTATCTGAAGCGTGCCTTCACTCTGCTGGAGGAAGTACACGACAAGGAGAAGGAGGAGAAGAAGCAGATGGAGGCGAAGGCTGAGGCGGAGCGACAGCTCGAGGAGCATGAGCGAAAACTCGAGGAGCGAGAAGCACGAGAGGACGCCGGAGTGGAGGAAGAAGAGGACACGTCGGACGAGGATGACTGGACAGAGGAGAAGGAGGCGGCGCTCCAGGAGAAAGTCGAGTTTGAGCCGGAGGACGAGGAGGACAAGCAGGTGCGGCTGAGCGAGGCGTACCTGCGCATTGCCAGCTGCGTGACGCGCTTCCGCCCCTTCGACAAACTGGGCTACGTCATGATCTGCCCGCCTTTCTCGGACGGCGACCTCGACGTCCTCTTTGACGAGGGCGGCATTCCCGAGGTCGTGGTGCGGCTGAGCATAGACGAGGACGTCTTCAATCAGCGCAGCACGTTGCGGGCGGCTGCACGGCGCGCCGCGGCGCAGCAGGCGAAAGCGCTCGACGTCGCCGCGAAGGAGCGGGAGGCGGCCCAGCACGCGACGCAGAGGTCACGCGAGGCAACTCTGCTGCAGCGTGCCCGGGAGAAGGCGTTGGCGAAGTGGCGGCGGCGTCACATCGGCGTGAACGACGTCGACGAACCGTCCGACGTAGACAACGAAGACGAAGAGTCAGACGCGAACAAACAGAAGAGCGACGGCGAAGCATCGAGCTTGCGGAAGCAGAATAAGAAGAGTAAGGTGGCCGACGAAGAGGAGACCGAAGTCGAGGCAGAGGCCGACCGGCAAGCGCAGGAGGACGCGCTGGAGGAGTTCATGACCTTCGTGGAGGAGCGCCGTGTGGAGGTGGTGAACGTCAACGCCGCGGCCGCGCGGGAGACGGTACGACGGGCCGTGGTGGATGCCCTCGGCCGCCACCTGGACAACCGTGCATCGCTCTTCTACCACCCTGAGGTGATTCGCCCGGACGAGGTGGCGGCGCGTCTGGCGAGTGGGCAGTGCGACTGGTCCTCCTTCGGCTCTCAGGATCCGGTGCGGCTGTACGCCTACCGCCGCGAAGGCCAGCGGATGGTATGCAAGTGGAAGCCGTCCGGCGTGCGTGTGGGGCCGGAGGTCGATGAACACGGCGAGGACGCAGCTCTCGCAGACCACATTGAGAGTGCCGATGATAGGCAGCCGCCAGAGGAGCCGGAGGAGCTCAGTGAGGTCGCGTCGGACGACGTGGAGGAGTTGCGGGACGCCGTGCAGCGGCGTGACAACCGCGCCCGTCGTGCGGCGGCTCGCCGTGTGGCCCGCGTGAACGCCCGTCTCTATTCGTTCGACGACGACACGACGTTGGCGCGGTTCATGCGCAACCCGTGGCCGTTTCTGCGGGGGCCGCCGCCGAGCCCCACGCTGTCGCCTGCACCGGTGGTGGCCGTGTTTGAGCCGGACACGCGTTGTGAGTCGGAGGTGGTAGGCGCGAAGCAGCGCTGCCTCGCGGACTCCGTCGCGTACAACCTTCACACCAAGTGCGTCTCTACGTCGTCGCTATTGGCGTGGGGCGCCGTGCATACTCACTGGCAGTCGCTGCGGCTGGAGTGCATGCTGGCCGCCCAGCAGGGCCTTGTCGATGCGTCGCTCACGCAGAAGCTGCTCCAACTGTACTTGTCGTCTGCGGAGACGAAGAAGGACGGTGCGGTGTTGCACAACCTGCCCATCACCGCCGTGTCTGCGGAAGCATTAACTCGCGTGAAGGGCACTGCGCCAGTGATGAGGGTGATAACAGCCCTGCCCGAGGACAGCGCCACGACGGCTTTATCATCATCGTCGTCCTCGCCCGCGGGGTCATCGCCACAGGAGCTCGCTGCGCTGGTCGCGCAATCGATGCGCACGTACGCCTCTGTTGGCCTCACGCTGCCGCATCCGTGTGCGCCGCTGGACAGCAGCAACTTAGTCGCGGCCGTCCACGGCGTTGTGGGTTTCTGTGCGGATGCGCAGGAGGCACGTCTTCGCGAGTGTCGCGCCTTCCCTGTGGCTCTTCGCAATTCATACGAAGTTTTTCAACACGTCCAGCGCCACCTGTCGGAGTACAGTGCCTACTGCCCCTACGAGTGGGTCGAGAACGGAGACTTGGTGAAGTGCATCCCAGCCGATCGTTCGTCTGCCTCTGTGCCGATTGACCTGTGTCTGGGGGCCAAGTACCTTGGACAGTACTTCTTCTTCAGCTCCGCAGACTACCTCGATCGGTTCTTGCGCAACCCGACGACCGTGACAGACCCCGCCACGGCGAAGCCGATGCCAAAGTACTTGCCATCCCTGGTGCCTGCAGCCGCTGCTGCTCAGCTGAAGGAGGCGGACCTCGCTCTTGAGGGCTGCTGCCCCGTCTTGCTGTACGACACGCGTGACCGTTGTGGCATGCGTGGGGTGCGGCAGCCGATTGCGAAGAAGGGCTCGTTAGACTTTGTGGCGGAATACAACGGACAGAAGTACGCAATGCTGAACGAGGAACACCAGAAGCGCTTCCTGCGTCGCCCGTGGCAGTACGTGGAGGGCGCGCAACTGCCGGCCGTCCTGCGGCGACCGCTGCCGAAGGGCATGAGACCGTCCGCGATCCCCGACACGGAGGAGTACCTTCAGCGTCAACTCTACGACCCGGTGGCGCAGGCCCTGGTGGCGGTGGGGCGGGAGCGGCCCATCTACCCCGGCCTCTCCGTCGAGGAGTCCGCCCTGAAGTACATTGCGCTCTACCTGAAGGCACACCGCGACCCCGCGAACCTCAGCCCCTTTGAGGCGGCGTCCTACACGACCAACTTCGAGTTATTCCACAAGCGCGCCACGCTCTACCGACACGTGCTGTCGAGGGAGGCGAATGGGACGGCTCTGGAGAGGGTTGCGGCCGCGGCGGCGACTGCGACAAACGGGGCGTCCGCCGACGACGAGGAAGCGAATAAAACCTTCTGCGCTTCTTACGAGGAAGTGCGTGCTGACGCGCACCAGATGAATTGGCTAAACCGACTCCCAAATCCCGCGCTCAGCCCCTGAAAAAAAAAAAAGAAGGAAGCACGGTCAAGTTACGTTGCTCCATGGCTGGCCATCTTTCGCGACTTGACGTTGCCGTTTCTGCCGTTTTACGGATGCAGCGCATGCGAGGAAGTGCCTTTCCTTGGCGCAAGCAGACGTGTATCGAATGAATGTACATGAACAACTGTAGAGTTTGAGGCTGTGTTTTTGGATGTAGTCACTCAATGGTCCCTTTCCGCGTTGCCTTCTCGATTGTTTTTGCTTCCCTTTTTCCTCAGTTTCTTTTTTTCCCTGTTGGCACATCGCGTTCGTAAGGAGAACCGTGCCGCCTCTAGAGAGCAGTTATGTATGATACGTAGGATGTAAAGAAGATTTTTTTTGTTATTGTTGGTGCGGGAGATGCAAATATACTTTGCGCAAAATAAAAAGGAACGTCAAATCGTGCCTGAGCTTGTGAGGAGCAGCCGATGCGTTTTCACGCACGTACATGCACGGACACGCACACGTGAAATCCTCTCCTTTCGGCGACACGCTATTTCTTGTAATTTCAAGAATCACGACAGCGATTCTCTCCACTTACCAAACCACCGCTGTAAAAGAGCTTACGTTTTGGAGTTCAAAATATGTTTTATCTTTTTTCTTTATCTGCCATTCATCTGTTCCCTTGCACTGTCTTTGTTGAGGTCTTTTTTCTCTCTGTCTCTCTGCTTTTCACTCTGTTACATTCTTTTCCCACTCGTTCTCCAGCTTTCCATCGCTTTTTGCTGTTCATGAAGAAGGAGATTTGCACCTTTGGCGCTTTACACTCTTGTCTGCTGAGAAGACGAGGCGGCAAGCTCGATACCCTGTTCTCACACTCCACATAATTATTGTTCACCTGCGCTTTGGAAAACTCAGCTGTTTTGCTGTCGTTGCGTAACGCTGTCATTGAGGTCCGCGCACTTCACCTTTAGTCATGTCCATCACGGTTCGCATTCGCACTCCGAAGAGCAGTGCGCCGGTGCAGGCGGAACTGAGCCTGAGCGAGAGGTGGAGCGAGGCGGCTGTCGTTCTCTCCGAGAAGTCCGGCGTTGCGCTGGACCGCATGCATGTCCTCGCCGGATTTCCCCCAAAGCGGATTGAACCGGCAGCGAGCACGCCGCTGGCGGAGCTCAAACTGCGTGCAAACGACATGCTCATCATTCAAGAAGGCGAGGCGACGGTGCAGCTGGGCAACACCGGTGAGAAGTACGTGCGGCCTGCGTCGGAGCGCGCGCACTTCACACGGCGCCGCTGCCCCGCCGACAACAGCTGCCTCTTTCACGCCTGCGCCTACGTTCTGCACGACAAGAGTCGGGGCGACGGTGCGCTGATCCGGCAGGAGTGTGTACGGGCGATTCGAGAGCACCCGGAGATGTTCAACCGGAACACCCTCGGCATGGACCCCGTGGATTACGCGGCGTGGCTCTCACAGAAGGACACGTGGGGTGGCGCAATTGAGTTGGAAGTCCTCTCGTTCTTGTACAAGACGGAGATCTTTGCCCTCGACCTCCAGTCGTCCACTGTGCAGAAGTTTGGAACAGGGATGGGCTACACGGTACGTGTGTTCCTCGTCTACACTGGCAACCACTACGACTGCATTGCCATGAACCCGACGTACAACTCAACATCAGAGCGGGAGGACCAGACACTGTTTAGCAGCCGCGACGACAACGTCCTGCAGCGTGCTACACGTTTTGTCGCTGACGAAGGCGAAAAGATGAGAAAGGGTAATTCCATGTAAAGGAGAAACCAAAACAACGTTGTGTCTGGGCTGTGAGAAGCACAGCGCGAGGGCCACGTTCCATCTGCCGCGCGAAGGACGGCTCGTTTGCATAGTCCTTTTCTTTTGTTCTTTACTGATCAATCATTCGTTAGCGCTTTATTACAATAGCTCGCAGTATTGTTTAATTATCTGGAATTGCGTTGACGCTTTCTTTATCGCTGATGCGTTGTAGCACAAAAAAAAAGGTCATAGATCGAGGAGGTTGTCGCATGTCCGGAAGTGTATCACGTTCACGGCCAGCAACGTTACATACTGAATGTCAACGGCATTTTAGTGAAATACGGAGTATCTTTTTTCAGCTGCAAGAGTCGAAGCTTTGAGGACAGCTTTAATCGATAACAACGCAAAAAATTATCGGCGAAAGCGCAGCGCGAGCGTCACACGAGCAGACCCACGGGCAATCGAAGTGCTCTTCCTCTCTGCTTTACGTGCTGTGCTTCGCTGTTCCACGGAGCTCTCTATTTGATCTCTTTCTGCCGCTTCCCCCTTCATCTTTTGTTTCTGTTCTTTGTTGCTGTCTGTGAGTGGTTGTTGCGAAGCGACCCTCCCCCCCCCCAAAAAAAAACCCTGGTCTGCTTCCATCACACACGCGACGCAACGAACGACGAAGGGAATCACGCATCTGCATGCTGTGTCAGGCCGACGAGTTCACTAGAATACACTGACGTCGTCCCTGCTATTTTGAAAACACAGACAAAATGGATTCGGCATCGGGTTCGCCACTGGAGAGCACCGCGCCCACAAGGAAAAGTCGACTCCCTCAAACGGATCTCTTTTCGGAAAGCGGCAACCATGCTACTGCCTCCTCTGCGGCCTCGCCCTCCCCCCTCTTTAGCCCCCGTGACGGTGCGGAGCGGCTGATGCTGCCGCTGTCGTCGAGTGGGCCCTCCTCCGCTGGGCCCGCGCACGTCCTCGTTGTCTCGCCGGCCGAGGACGAGGAGAGCGACGCCGGCTCCGGGGAGCTTTCCCACATGCGACAGCTCGATGCCGCCTTGGCAGCGAACGCGCGAGAGCGGGCGCTGCACGCGAAAGAGGTCGAGGTCACCCACCTGCGCCGCACGATACAGGAGCTGAGCGTGCAGCTGAACAACGCGCTGCACACGCTGGACGCCCGTGCGGATGCGTCGGCGCAGCTGCAAGCGTTGAAGGACGCCGAATCCGCGAAGGACGAGCGCCGCGACGACGACGTTCGATTGGTGCGACTCGACATGCTGGAGAGCCGTGTGAAGTACCGCACCATGGAGGAGGAACTCGTTGCCAGGTACAACGCTGATGTGCAGGCAAAGGCGACGGAGCTGCTGGAGACGCACACAAAGGAGGTGCATGACGAGAACTTCGAGCTGCTGCGGGAGAAGGTGCGGCTTGCGGAGGAGGTGACGGTGGGCCGCGCCGCGTACAAGGAGCTGCAGGACAGCTACAGGAAGCTGCGGCGGGAGACGGACTTGGACGTGGGTGCGAAGCAGCAACTGCTGCAGCGCAGTGTGCAGCAGAAGAACCAAATTGCCTCGCTGCGGCAGCAGGTGAAGACGGACGAGGACAACCTGAACACGGTGGTCTGTGAGTACGACAAGAAGCTGGCGGAGCAAGAACGCCGCCACCAAGCAGAGGTGAATGCGCTGACGAAGGAGCGGGACGACGCCCGCCACGACGCGCTGCGGTTGAGGCGTGATCTTAACCAACTCCGCAGCAGCGCCGACAACGTGCTGTCGCAGCGCAGTGACCTTGAAGACTTCTTCTACGCCGCCTTAAGCGAGGTGCGGCAGCGCGTGATTGAGGAACGCCGTCAGCAGCTGGCGAGAGGTCCGTTGGACGCAGCGAACGACTCAAAGGTCACCGCCTTTTCTCCGACGCAGACCGCGTCGACGGTGTTGCGGTTAGAAAGCAAAGGACAGCTCCTCATTGTGGGCAGTCCTGGCGGGCTGCCGGCGACCGCAGCTGCCTTCGCCTCCTCCTCTTCCAACGGCAACTGGACAGTGGATCGTAAAGGTTTTCCACGCCGCGGGGTGGCGGCCACCGCGCGGCACGGTGCGACAGGGGCAGCGGCCAGCGTCGACTCCCCTTCTACCCCCGCCCTTCCTCCCGTGGCAGCCACGTCACGAGCCCCGCGCTCCGCACCGCCGGCAGCCCCGTTAGACAACACCGGTACGCTGGTCGCTGTGCCCAGTGCGATGCCGGATTACTTGCGCCACGACATCGATGCCGGCGTTGCTTCTTCTTCTTCACCGTTAAACGGGCAGTGTCGGAATGGTATTCTCCCGGGCAATTCTCCATCACGACTCGCACCGGCTCCGCCATCGCCGCCTGCCCAGGATCTTCCAGCGTCGCATCGTCTGCCCAACCAACTGACCTGGAAGGATCTGAAGGAAGTCGACGTGGCATCACTGAGCTGGGCGGACAAGGAACGGGTGCTTCAACTGCTCTTCAAGCGCATCCAAATGGAGGGTCGGCACCGTGGAAAGGCACACGCGAAGAAGACGGCACCCAGCGCACCGACTTGTGCGGGGAAGAGCACCGTCACGCCGCCGCAGGGGGACTCGGCATGCTTTGACAGAGATCCAGACTCCTCCACCTTCGTGACGCAATCTTAACAGATCAGAAACAGAGAGCGAAACTTGTGAAGTTTGACTTTCGGCTGCGAAGCATGGCAGAGACGTCTTCGTTGCCGCGCGTTTGCATGCGCTCTAACTGTTTCTTCTTTCTATATTGTTATGTAAATTATTGCAATAGAAAGTCGCAGAGGCGTTTTTCTCCCTTCTTTGAAGAGGCACTTACTTTTTCATCCTCTGGAAATAACCGTAGAGGTTTTTTTGCCTGCTTTCAAAACGGATCAAACTAGTGTATTAGGTGTTTTGTTTGTTTACTACAGTGATTGCATAAATGTGCGATACAGTAGTAGCTTTCCCGATGGGGCTCGTGGTCACCTCCACTAAGCGGGCGATGCAACTAGACGGAAGCCGTTCGCCTGCAGTTGAACGACGTGCCACGGTAATGGGTCGCGTTCTCCAGTTTGTTGGTATTCGCAACACCAGTGTACCTTGACTACGTTTTGAAGCACTCAACGGAATCACACAACTCTTGCAACCTCTCACACTTCCTCAATTTCTCTCCTTCTCCTCACTCTAACCTGCTCTTCCTCTTTCTCACAGTCACCGTTTTTCCATGCCTTAGCAGCTCCCAGCATCTGCGGTTGAATAAACGCAGAAAAGGGTACCACTGTTTTTCTAAAGAGAGAAATGCAACCGTATCACTGAAAGCCCGGAACACACGTAACTGCTTTTCGTTCTACCCTCGTCTTCCTTAGATTCACCTTATATAGATTAATATTAGATTTGCTTCGCATTCACGCACACACAAATCGGCAAGCACTGTTGCTGTCCGTACTGCAACTTGTTGAGAACAACATTTTTCAGTAGTTTTCCCTTTCCTACACTGAAAGAGCCTTTCCACGATGTCTGTACCAATCGCGGGGCGTCGAAAGGGACAAGCAACCACACCCACTACCACCACCACCACCATCACCACAAACACCCCAGTCCACGGCGTTCCGTCATGGCTGGACGACACGCCGTCGGTCGCCGCCCCATCATCTGCCTCACCCTCTGCGTTTCCTCAACCATCCACCGTTCTCCCTTCTTCCTCTGACACGACGTCCGCTGGTTTTCTCTCCCCCAGCGCGTTCAGCGCCACCTCAGCGTTCCCGGCGTTTGAAGGCACGAATGTGAGCGTGCCAGCGTTTCTGCGCCATGAGGAGACGCAGCGGCACACAGCACCGCCGGCGTCGCCAGCGTCCCAGCTGCCCACGGATGTCGAACGTTCACGCCGGCTCGCCCTGAGCGAAGAGCTCGACTCCGTCACACAGCAGCTGATCGACGTCACGGGGCGCGTGGAGGTGCTGCAGGGAGACGGTCACCCGGCCGCGGCGGAGGTGAGGGAGTTAGATGCCACGTTGGGGTCATTGAGAGAGAAGGAGGCGGAGGCAACGCGGCGAAAAGCAGAGCGTGACGCGCAGGTGCAGCTGGACGCACGTGAAGGGGCGCCATCTGCGGAAACCCACGTCGATCTCAACGCCGCGACGTCGGCATACCGTGCGGAGTGCACGCAGCGCCATGGACAAGCCTTGGACGCGGTCACGTCTGAGTTACAGGCGCAGCACAGCAAGAACGTCGCCTTACAGAAAGAGTGCGAAGATGCGATGTCCAACACGCCCGAGTCGCGCTGCCAGGCAGCCGCCTTCCAGGCGCTTCAGCGTCGACTCCAGGACGGTGTGCGCCACTTAAAACAGCACTTTTCGCAGCAGTGCAATAGTGCCGTTGCCCTCAGCGCACGTACCTTTTTGGCCTCGGCCCGGCAACAGCGAAGCGAGCTGTTTGCCAACGACGCCGCCCGCCGTGCGGCGAAGTTGCAGAGCTATCGAGCACAGCGCGACACGTCTGCGAGGGAGTTCAACGCTGAGTGCCACAGCATTTTTCAAGGGCGTGCGGATTCTCTCTTTGGCGCGTTGAAAACCTCGCTGGAGAAGCGCCACCGAAGACTGGCGGACGAGCGAAATCAGCGTCTTGGTGCGTTCCACGCTCAGCTGCATGCCACGACAGAGCGCGGGCGCGTTGCACTGGAACAGCAGCTGCGGGCTCTCACAGAGCGGGAAGTAGCCATCACAGCTGCGCAACGTGATAGCGCGAATTCGGAACTTTTGTTACGGCGAGACGAGCTGGCGCGGCAGCGCCGTGCTTTCCAATCCCGTGCGGCGTCGGAGTATCAGTCCCTCCGTGAGACGCACGGAGACGGCGCAGGACGGCGAGGATGCCCTGTGACAGCCGCTTCTGCAACGAAGAGTTGCACGACGTCTTTCGAATCACTGCGCAGAGAGACGGAGGAGATGCGTGCGAAACTGACCCAAATGGCGCTTACACTCCGCACCAAACAACAAGGCCTCCCATCTCGATATTCACCCAAGCAGAGTCCGCTCCCAGGCAAAGCTCAACTGTCGTTTGAAACCACCGAGTCGCAGTGGCGTGACTTCGTCCTGTCTGTGCAGCAGCACCGCGAGCTTCTCCGCACGACAATCGAAGAACTGAAGACGTCAACGCGTTCGTGGTCAGACGGGATGGAGCGGGGGCGTCGTCAGCTGACAGCGCAGCGCGAAGAGGTGCGCATCGTGCGGCGTGCTTGGGAGGGTAAAATACGCAGTCAGCTCTCCAGTTGCTTAACGGTGCAGAACACGGACGTGCCCCCTCTTGCGTCCCTCACCACGTCCACCTTAGAGAGTCTCAGCCGCCGCGTGGAGGACCTCAGGCAGAAACAAGGCGCGCTGCGGTCTACTCGTAGTGCCTTTGCGGGGCAGATGGCTGCGTCGGTGCGGTCCTTGCGTGCGTATCGCACCGACACAGAGCGTCTTTTGGGGGACGTTTTTTCGAACTTTGAAGTGCTGCGTGAGAGAAGTGTGCAGGCGGAACTGGACGAGCTGTCGTTGCGCTCCATGCAGGCACAACTGGAGGCGTTGTACCACCACGTTTCACAGGAGGCGCATCGCCTCGCTGCGCAGAAGCGAAGCCTCGACGCTGTCGTGAAGGACATGCGCGCTGGGCACCCGGTGGCGCTGCCCTCGATCATCACCCTCGCGGACAATTTCTCGCAAGATCAGTCCACGCAGATCTTCACCGGCCGTACGTCACCGCTGTTTGACATCACCAACGCGTCTCACCACCGCCTGAATTGCCATCCGCCGCAAGCTCACGCAAACATTACGGAGATGACAGAGGCGAGTGCTGCCACCCGCAAAGAAGCCGTGACGAAGCGCCACACGCACTCGTCTTCGGCCACCACACCGTCGCTGATAGCTCTTCGTCATGGCGGTGGCGAGAGGAGAAGCCCCACCACCATGCCCTTCAGCAACGACAGCGAAACGCGGCCTCCTGGTGCGAGTGGCGTTGCAGCACCCACGACGGTGTCCGCCAGCTCTGGCGCCGACGTGCTCGTCAGCGAATCTCCCTCGCCCATCATACCGTCGTTGGGAGGACTTAGTGGATGGATGCAACAGCAGCAGCAGCAGCAGATAGGCGGCGGCTGTGCAGGTGGTGCATGCATCTCCGTCTCTCCGAAGACGGAGGACGTGCCAAACAAAGCTGAGGGAGAGGTGTTTTTGCGTTCCGTGGACAGCGACGCAAACTCCACCATGGATCTTGAGCCGATAGAGAATGTCGAGGGTGATGATGAGAGCGCCATCGCACCTTTGCGTCCTTACTCTTCACATTGAAGAAGCCACGCTTCTCTTGATTTTTCCATTCATGGTGTCGTTCAGGACAAGAACAAGAGTTTTAGTGAACATGAGAAGAACGTGTTTGTTTCTTTCTAGCGCTTTTTTTTCTTGTATCACATGTAGAGCTACCATGCAGTCCCTGAAAATCGTGCTGTGTTGATGCGTCATCATTTTCGAATACTCGAGAGGAACGTTCTTTTGAAAATTTTGCACGTACAAGCACTAGGTGATGCGCGCCCGCGTGTCATTTGAGCTCGTCTTTTGTGAAGCTTTTAAGGACAATAGCGACTCCATCAATGCACCTGTCATGTACCTTCGATTTTCACCGCCAGACGAATCTTTTCTTACTCTCTCTCTCGCTCTCTTCGCGCCTTTCATCCCTTCATCTTTTTCTTTTTTTGGGGGATTGGGCAAACTGTGAAATGCGTAAGTGATGCATTATCGCAACGGAGAAAAGAAATCGAACGTCTGAATGCACTGAACGCTTCATTGTGTGACCTATTGCTGTTTCCTCTCTCTCTCTCTATACATATATATTTGAATCGGAACGTGGCGAGTGTGTAAACGCTCCACGGCACTTTCAACACCAAAAGGGAGAAAGATCCCCACGTCACCTCTACTACCCCGCTGCGTCTTTAGGTGGAGCAAAAGCGATAAAAACTAATAAAAGAAGATATCACTTTAGATATTTCATTTTTCGTTTTACTCTTTTTTATTATCATTATTTACGCAGCACGGTCACATCGCTCGCTCTGTGATTCCCGCACCATAGAACCAATATTCTCGTCAACCGCCGCCTTTTGTAGAACACTTTTAGAAAGTTTTTTTTTGTTCTCTGATTTGCTCTCGCGGAACCGCACGTTTTCACCTGTCAAGCTTTGCGGCCTGGTCGTTGATTAAGTTGCTCTGCGGCCTGATCAGCAGAGCACGAGGAGAGCTTCGACAATTTCGGCCTGTGCTGCCACACGAACATTCCCTCCGGTGGGTCCCATCGCAAGGATGATTCAGCTCGACTTTGTGCTGTACCGCTTCGTGTGCGACATCACGGCCTTTACGGGGCTGTTCGCCGAGGACGCGGAGGGGCGAAGTATCCCCGACACAGCCGCATTTCACTGTACGTGGAGCCGCACACCCCGCTCCAAGCAGACCGCGGCCGCCGTGACGGCGCGCATTGGCGGAAGCACCGACAGCATCTACTTCAAAGCGCTCGGGTCCGACATGGCACTCACCTTCCCCACGCAGGCGCATCAGTTTCTCATGGACGGCGAGAGGGAAGTGGTCACGTTTGCGCTTCGTCCTTCACAGTACAGCGACGATGGGGCGCTGCCCATCATTGCGAAGGGCACCCTAGACCCTAATCCGTACTCTGAGAAGCCAAAGAAGAACTACGCCATTCGGCTGCGCGACGCGGCGGGACACGTCACCGGGAGGCTTCTCTTTTCTCTCGTGGCCCGCGAGATAGACGGAGACCACGAGCAAGGTACGTCAGCCGATAGAGCGGCGCGGTCGCCCAAGCTGCCCGCTTCGCACAGCCGCGAAGGCAGTCGCACTTCCCTTCCGAAAAATCCTGCACGTGACCGATTATGGAAGACTTCTCCACCCCACCAGCAGCCGCTGGCGTCAAGCACACCACCGCGCGTAGGAGAACCGACGCCACCTAGGAGAGTGCACGCCGGCGGCGAAGAGCAGCAACAGCCTACAATAGTCGCGGCAGCTGCAACAGCACCTACTTCAAATGGAAACAGCAGCCCTCACCGCAGCAGTCCGGTGCCTTCCCCTCGTAGCAACGGTGTTATGGGCTCTTCAGCAGTCTCTCCTCCGCGTACGACGTCCAACCTCGTGAACGGCGTAGAAAGCGTTGATGTGCAGTTAGAGCGCATCACGGTGCGCTCCGAAGGCATCGATCTCGACCACCCCGCCCCGCTGCTGCTCGGTGGCGACTACAGCCTAAAAGTCCGCTATGGCTCCTTCTCGTATAGCACGACACGGTGCACCTGCCGCAACCCGAAAGAGGTGCAGTACCGAGGCCAGCAAACCTGTATCATGCTGCAGCCGGCGCCGGGCAGCGAAAAACTGCGCTTCTCACTGTGGGAGGATAAGAAGCAAGTGGCAGGCTTTTCGCTCGATCCTGCCAAGTTCACCGCGGCGCTGGGTGTGTGGAAGGAGTACGCAATCCCCTTCCGCTATCACCCGACGGGGCAGAAGGCGGCGTTGGATGTGCGGGTCCGCCGCTTCGTCGTGCCCCTCGACGGCTCACTGGCCGGCCGACACGACAACACGCCGTCCCTGCACCGGCAACCCACGATGACGACCGGCGCGACGGAGCCGATTGTGTTCCCGGCCGACGGCGCGGTGCCACGCCGGCTGACCTACCACGCAGAGCCGCCGTCGAGTCCCCCACCCGCTCCGGCCGATACTGGACGACCACTGCGGCCACCGCAGCACACGCCTCTGCGTCCCCCCTCACCACCGAGGAAACAACCATCACAGCAGCATCATCAAAACGTGAAACAGACATCTCCCGAGAAAGGTACGCCACTGCGCTCTTCTCCCCTGGCACGTGGGGGCAATTCGTCACCGGCGGGTTCCATTGCGGTGACGCGCGGAGCTCTGCAGGACGCGCTGAGGCGAGATGGGACGCCGCACCGCCTCTACGATGCCGAAGCCGACCCCAGCGCGCACACCGGCCTGCGCAGCCAGAACCCGTCCTGCTCGGTCGTGCGCAGCGGGTGGGTGCGCACTCCCATGCCGGAGCGTCCGTCGCCGCTGACGAGAAACCTCGCGGACCTGCCCGCTGACCGCCGTCCCCCGGACGACCACGAAGCGTACATCTCGGAGGTGCTGGCTCGGCTAAACCGGCCGCCCCGCGGTGGATCTCGGCAGCCGACGTCGCTCATGGAGGAGTGGATGAGCTGGCGAGACGACAGGGAGCGCAGTCGGTGCAACAGTGTCGCCAACTCGATGGTACGGTCTGAATCGGTCAGCAGTGCGGTGAGTCGCGCTGACTCGTTGGCGTCCGTGACGTCGCGCCATGCCTCTGTGCCGCGTGCCACCAAGTCCAACGCTGACCACTCTCTGATGACGCCCTTCACACCGGATAACGGCGGCTTTCGGAGGCGTCATACGAGTCCAAGCCCTGCGGCCCGCAACCCACTTATCTAAAGACGGATTTTGTCAAGTTAAGACTTAAGAAGAAAGATAATTGTAGCAAAACTGAACGTCTCAGGCTCTGACATCGAGGTGCCACTTGGCAGAGCAATCGTGCATCGTCTCACTGCAGCAACACTCTCACGCTCGAGACCGCGTTGGCGGTGCCCATCACGGTCACGACGAAGACTGGTTGTTTTTTGTCCTTTCCTCTCTGTAGCACGGTATTTCTTTCGAAGACACTCTTTTTTTTTGTTTTGTGAACGTTCGAATCGTTTTTCTCTTTGTTTTGCTGGACTGTCTTTTATAAAAGCGGTTTGTTCTCCACACAAAATCTTTTGGCTGTGTTATGAAACGCAACGTGACCTCCTCAGGCTTCGCAAGCGACAATAGAGATGACGAAGTGCCAAAGGTATAAGTAGTTGGGGCGGGGTGGCCTCCAATTTGCTCGGCGTGATCGTCTATGGTTTCCGCCCCCTCCGCCCTCCAAGCAGGGGGAGGAAGGAGGGACGTTCTCGACTCTTATGCGAGCTCAAGAAAAGAAGAAATATAGTTGATGCTCAGCTGTTAATAAAAGCGAAAGAGGACTGTGCTTGAATATCACTCATCCACTGCTGCGTTTTTCTGTTGTTCCACCACTGACAGTGGATCGCTTCGAATGCGCTTATCACAATGCAAGCGTGATACTTTACCGGAACCTACCCGCGGCTTCTCTTCTATCTCTTTGCACGTCGTCTTGCTCGTTTTGTTTTTGTTTTTTCTATTTCCTTGTTTTGCTGCCCACATTCGTTGGACACGACTGGAGCGGACGCTGCGATCATCGCTGACTCGTTTTGCAACGGACAGGTTTTTATTTTTTCCCTCCTCCCTCATCCTGCGTAGCCAAAGCCTTTACGCACATCAGATATTTTCCGAATTCGCTGGAGTTGTATTGCAGGCTTGTTTGTTTCTCAACGTATCGTATTTTGAACACTTCAAGTGGAGCGTCCTCATGTCAGCATCTGTGAGCTCTTCGTCTACGAGCAAGCGCAGTGAGGAGCACAGCTACCCGTCTTCGTCATCTGCGACGGAAGCGACGCACTCGTCTTCCGCCAGTTCGAGCGACGACGCATCCGCCGATGGCTCAGAACAGAGAGCATCTTCTTCCTCATCTTCCTCTTCTGCGTCTTCCGCGGCCTCATCCCGATCGTCGCCGTCGCGCGAGGGAGACAGCAGCGGCGACGACGACGGAGGGGACGACGGGGCAGCACCACTGAAACTGCCCCGGCTGGAGGAGGTCGACAAAACACTTCACCACTCGACCAGCGGACCGACCACCAATGGGCCTCTGCTGCCCGCAGCCGGCGGCTCCTCCATCTTTCCCGCCCCTCCCGTACCTTCTCCTTCACTGAGCAAACCGGCCGGTCTGCCGCCGCGCTACGGGCCGGTCTTTCCGCCGCCGCCGGAAGCACCTCACTTCAGCGCGTGGGCCCCGCCGCCTCCCCCACCTCTACCGACGCTGAGCGCATCTGCGAAGGACCTGACGGAGGTGGATGTCCGCGCGGGGGTGCGCCTCGGGGTCTTCTGGGCCCCTACACGCCTCAACAAGGAGCAGATCATGGACGAAATCGAGTCGGTGCGCATGACGAGCAGCGTGGAGCGGGTGCTGCTGGAGTCGGCAGTGCGGTCGGAACTGCCCGGCGTGCCGGTGGAGGAGCGCGAATACGCGTGGGCGACGGTGTTCTTCGCCGAGGCCGAGGCCGCCGAGCTGTGTGTGGCGCGACTGTGTCAGCCGGGCAGGCGCTCGAAGTGGTCGCGGGTGTGCATACAACGCCTGCCGCTTTCCTCGCTCGCCGCGCTGCCGCTTTCTCCGCCCGAGGAGCAGCGCTACCGCGTCCACGCCTATCAGCTGGAGTCGGTGGCGGACACGCCCGGCGCTGCGGCGGCGACGACGTCGGCGGTGACCGACACGGTCCTCGCTCGGACCGCCGGCGGGTGGTGTGTTCTGTCGACCGGTGGGCTGTTCCCCACTGTGGGTCTCGCCACCTATCTGAAACACCGCCGTAGTGGCGACTTTAGCCGGGTCGAGGTGTGTCCTGCGTACCATCCAGACCCCGAGCAAGACACCTGCGGTGCGGGCGGGCAGTGCAGCCGCCTGCATCTGCGGGAGGTGGAGCAGTGGAAGCTGCTTTTACCGGTTGTGCTGCCAGCCAAGGCACCTGTGAGGACGTCACCGCACATGAAGCCCGCGTCGGTGGGTCCGAATCCAGTCACGGCAGCGGTCCCCGCGGCAGCCACGCTTGATGAGACGCCTTGGCAAAAAGCACGACATGACGATTGCCTCGTCGTGAAGCCGCTGCCGGCGGATATCGACGAGCGCGCCTTCGTGTACATGTTTCGCGGGTGCAAAGGCTTTCTGCGTGCCCAGACGGTGCGGACGGTCGACGCGATGCGGTACGGTGTGGTGCAGTTTGAGAAGTCTGCCAACGCGAAGGAGGCGCGTCAGCAGGCGATCGCCACCACTGCACTGCCGGTGCGATTCTACGGCGAGGTGGACGATAATGCCGCAGCGCAGTTGAGGAACGCCGTTGCCAACAATGACACGGCGATTTGCACCGGTGTTCTTCCGCCGGCTGCAGCGGAGGCGGCAACGTCTGCCAGCGCCCCCACTGCCGACTCCGATGCGGACCGGAACAACAACGTGCGCAATGACAACGACGCCTGCGCAACTCCCGCAAACACCGTCGTGTCAAACAACGGCGCCGCGGCTGGTGCGACGAACGCGCCTGGGGTGCCGTTTCCGCCGCTGCCCGAGGGCTGGGAGTACGGACTGTCCCGCCGCACGATGCAGTACTTCTTTCTCCAGTCCGGCAAGAAGTCTACAACATGGAAGCACCCCGTGACGCAGGAGCCGTACAAGGCGCAGCGGTGAGGCGTTAAACGATGATAGTTCTATTTAGCTGTTCTTTGCAGAGTTGGAGTTGGAGGAGCTAAAAAACAAAAACAATAAAACAGGTGTGCGAGTCGCAGAGGAGAGATAAACTAACGGAGAAGGAGTCTCCCTTACGGTCGTGTCGCATGAGATGACAAGAGTCTTTATCGGTGGGAAGGATCTTTATTTTGGGCCTCGTGTGAATCGAAGCGTACAGAAAGAAAACAAAAACCGATGCAGTATCAAGGCAATCGACAAACGAACTCCCTTTTTTTTTAATGAGGCCGCAGTGCATAACACTTCTCGTGTGAGGGTTTGCACATTGTAGTTTCACCCCTACAGGAGAATCATGTCATGGGCGCGTTCGGTCTGCTTACCGATCGGATGCTACGATGGTGTTGTTTGCGAAGCAGTCTCCGAGCAACAGCATTTTGATCTGTCTTTTCAGGATCTCTTTCACGCTTCTTCTTTTACTTCTGCTGATCTCTCTCCCTTTCTGTCGCCGTTGGTTTTCTCTCCAAAAATACTTTTGCTTTTGCAAGTCAAGTAGCTGACTTGATTGCTTTCCTCCGCCCAGAGTCTGATTAGTACCACATACCTCTGTGTGTGTCTCAGAGGAAGGTGTTTCACTTCGCTATTTCGCAACGCACGACGTGTTAAGCTGGCGGATACGTTTTTGGTTGTTGTGCGTGTGTGAACCATTGTGTCATTTCACCCGACCAAGGAAGCCCCTCTTTTCCTGGTCCCGCCACTTCTGCCTGTTTTCGGTGTAGGTCTGTTTGACACATCTAGAGTTGAATTAACTCACACATCAGTCTCCATCCTCGTCCCCCAAAAGAAGAAAGAAATCCGGAAACGAAGAGGGAGTGCATCACAACGGCGACCGTTCGTGTTCTCTTGTTTTCGTTCTCTCCTTCCGCATCGCCTACGCTATCGTGTTGATCTTTCCTTTTTTTTTTTACGTATTTCCTCTTCGTTTCTTCACTTCCGGCTATTTCCCGTTCATTTTTCTAGAATTCATAGTGTTCTCTTGGTTGTGTTGTCGCTCCTTCTGTCATTCCTTATCTTCTTCTTGGTTGTTGCGCGAGACCATGTGCTGCGACGACCCTCCACAGAAGCGCTACTGGAGGCTGTACCACCTCCTCGACCTCATTACGCCCATCACCGCGCGGCAGGTGAAGTGGAACTTCCGCAAGGTCACGCTGCGCCACCACTACTACCAAGCTTATCTCGTTCTTTACAACCGTAGCCGCAAGTACCTCTTCGACACCATCGGCGAAGATGCCTACGGATTTATCTCGAGTGGGGCGTGGGGCCCGTTTGTGCCTGCACTCGGCGCCGTCGGCACCATTTTGCTGTATTGCATCGTGCTGATGGTTGAGGTGGCGTTGCTGCTCGTCTTCTTTGCCTTCCTCGCAGCCCAGGACGATGGACTGATCTCCTGGACGTGGGAGAAGATCATTGCGCCGCTGATGGCGTTTGCGATCGTCATGATCGTCGTCGCGGTCTTGGCGGTCTTGATGAACTGGGGTTCGCCGCGGACCTACCGCGAAGGCATGTCCGTGATGGACCGCCTGTCCCCGGTCGGCAACCTGCTGGCGGCCGCCTGCTATTTCTGCATCCCCTTTGCGATTGGCGTCAAGATCAACACAGACCCTGACGATGGGGTAGGGAAGTTTCTCACCTACATGTGCCTCCCCATCATGGGTGACATCTTCTACTACGCCACCTCGCTCATCTGGCGTTGGCCGCGGCGGCTGCGGCTGCAGATGGAGGTCGGCAACAACCGCCCCGACTCGGTGGTCTACCGCGGCATCTTCGCTATGGGCTTTCTTCACATGCTGTGCGGCGTGGCCCAATGGGTGCTGATTGGGTTTAAGCTGGACAATCGGCTCGACCGCTCGTGGTACATCATTTTCATCCCGTTCTGCTTCCGCATGGGTTTCCGCGTTGCCGAGGCGTGCCTGCGCAGTTTGATGAAGTACACCATCGGCGTGCGCTCCAAGATCGGCGTCGCCTTTGACACCGTTGGCTCCTTTTTCACCAACGGCGTTCTTCTCATGTCGCTTTACTTTGTCGCGGTGCGCATTGAGCGCGGCCGGGATCGGGTGAAGCTCGCCTACGCCCTCATTCCCGTCTACGTCACCTTGGGCTACATCTTCATCTTCTTGCTCGTAACGATGATCTTGCTGCTCGTCCTCCACCGCCGCCGCAGCAGCGAGGAGCGCCGCATCAACAGCCAGTGGACCCCGCCGCAGGACAACGAGGGCGACACGCCGAAGACGCTCGGCCAGACGACGACGTCCGACACGGCGCCGGTCCGAGTCGTAGGCAGCCAGCGCCGCGGCTGGGACGACGTGGACCAGCTGACGGAGTCCTCCGCCGCCTTCCCGGAGAACCTCGACGCCAACGTGAACGAGCAGGATTACGACGACTTCGAGACGGACGCCGAGGAGCCGGTCTTCCCGGACGAAGCCACGCCGCGCTCGTCGCAGTTTCCCTACGGCAGCCCCCGCGATGACGAGGGCGGGAGCACCTACGATGACGCCGCCCCCGACCGCACCCGCAGCGGCTCGTACAGCCGCCGTCCCACGCCGGAGGAGGCGTCTCCCGCGACCGGCACGGACGACTACACGGAGGTGACGACGTACCTTGACGAGGAGACGTCGGCCTCTCGCAAAGATGAGGAGGAAGACGACATCGCGACGGGCGACTCTAGCAGCTACACAGAGGAGACGACCTACATTGACGAGGAAACGGGCGACGATGGCGAGCAGTCGCGCTCAGTAACAGGAAGCGGATCGTATTCGTCCTCGGTGTCGTCTAGCGGTGCTTCTTCCTATACGTCCTCGGCCGCTAACAGACCGGCGAAGGCGCAATAGAAGGACACCCACGTAGACCACGAGCCTTTCAACTTGTGCTTTTCTTTCATTTCTGCACCCCTTCTTCTCTTTTTCCTCCCTTCCTCTTCATGCAATCCACTTTACAGTTTTTTTTTTGCAAATTCCTTTTTCGGCATTAGAGTTGCGGCCTCAACGGTGAAGGGAGGGGAGAGCTGCAAGATCGGCTTTTCTCATAAATCATCTTTTTTTTGACAGAAACCGCATCGTTTTTCTTTTTTTCTTTCTCTTTACGTTTTTATTAAATTGCCTTCTCTGGTTTTATTGTTGTTGGCGCACATGAAGTTTCTCATTGCCTCACCACCTTTTTTTTTTCGTGGAGTGTGTTTTTGCGCACGACAGCAAACAAATGGCAAAGTTGTATCTTGTGATTTGAAAATGCAAGGCTCTGCTTTCTTTCTCACTGTTATCTCGCCCCCAAAGAAGAAAAAGTCACTTGCCTGGTGTTGGGGCACCATCACGGGACCAAATCGTTGTGTAGTTGATGAGGAGCGCGTAAAATGATTGCTGTGATGGCAGAACGCGTTTTTTTTTTTACATCTCACTTTTCTCTTCCCCATTCCTCTGCGAGTAGGCGATGGGCTACTTCGTATTTTCTTGCCCCTTTGCTGATCTGTTCACTGTACTTAGAACATTTTTGTGTCTCACGTTGGCCTTTTTTTTCCTTGTTACATATTTTTTTTTGCGTTATGTTGGCCTTCTTAACTGTTCTGTTTGTGTTCTTCTCTTTTTTTCGGTAGTTCCACCGTTTGACTGTGTTGGAGTTGCATTTGTGACGGTTATTACGCCGGTGCGCTTTTGCCGCTTGTGAGCTTGGCATATCGCAGAAGAACAAAGCAATTCCAGCTGGGGGTTTTTTTTTTTGGAAGAGGGCTTTTAGAGAGGCAAAGGGCCAAATTTTGGAGTGTGTGGGTGTGCGTGTGTGTCTCGTCAGTCAGCAGCGAGCTTGTGTGATGCCGAATGGTTGTTTGCTCGCCTCTTGCGTTCCTCGACATGTGTTTTTTTTGGAGGGCTAATGGTCTCATTGCTCTGAGCGAACACTTGCGCTTTTGTTGTGTTTTCTTCTCTATCTGCCTCCTTTTTTTTCAATGTTCTGTTCTTACGACCTCTGTGTGCATGTCAAAACATTTTGTTTCAGAACAGAATTCGCAACCAATAGGCGCAATTAAGTGAAAAGGCATATACGTGAGTGGCGATGAGAAGGCCACGTGTGACCCCTGCCGGTGGTGGACCCCAATGTGCTGGCGTGCCTCCCGGTATTTGTGTTGTCGCTGACGTGTCGCTTTCTACGTTTTTCTTTCCCTTTTCGTTTTTCTCTAGTTACCCTGCTGTTGTGATCACAGCCGCCTGCTTGTCTGTGCTTCCGCGCTGGACACAAGTATATGTTAGGCGGTATTGCATCGAAGTGGAAACGCAGCCAGAATGCCCTCCACTTGATCTGCCCACGTGTGTTGAAAAACACTTGCTCACTTTCGTTCTCCCGCTCCTCTGGCTCTCTTCTTTTTTTTCTTCACCCCGTGTTTTCGTTTTCTTCTCATTTACTTTCGCACACGCACACACACACACACACAATGCAAAACGTCCATTTGTCTGCTCGTATGCTGAAACGCTTTTCAAAGACGATGTCCCTCTAACACAAGCGTTCACATCTTTTGAAGACTTACTCACACATCTCTATTACAAAGCTACTTTCCTCTTCCCCTCTCTTTTAGCACAGCCCTTATTGCAATTTAACTTATTGCGTTGCACTTTTCTCCCTCAATCATCCGTTGCCCACTCCGAGCTCCTGGATTCACTGCTTCGTTCAGCGTGTACATCGGCTTTTTGTGCGATCCTGTCTTCCCGCTGCATTTCTTCGCATCGCCCGCTCTCGAAAACCAAAAGTCGCCAATATGTTCGCCGTAGAGAAGCTCCAACAACAAAGTCAGGCGGTGGCCCCGCATGAGAATCAGGCAAGTCGCAACTCGCCAAACAGGCCCTTCATTCGCGATGCCCCGACGGTGCGTCCGCATTTGGCGCTGCCGATCCACACGCCCGACTCCTCGTTCCCCGTTCGTGTTGCCTGCCACCGCGGTGACTGGCGCAACTACGTCGAGAACACGCTGGAGGCGGTGGAGAGCTGCATCCAGATGGGGGCTGACATCGTTGAGGTAGACGTCTGGCGCACCAAGGACGGCGCGCTCATCCTCATGCACGACGAGACGCTGGAGCGGTGCACGAGCGGCCACGGAAAGATCTGCGACCACACACTGGCCGAGATCCGCGAGCTACGCATGAAGGATGGTCTAGGCAACATGACCGAGTTTACGGTGCCGACCGCGGAAGAGGTGCTGCTCCTCGCGAAGGATCGCGTGGTTGTGAACCTCGACAAGGCAGACTTGTACCTGGACGAGGCGTACCAACTGCTGGTCAAGACGGGCATGGTGGCGCAGACGATTCTCAAGTCGGACATCCCGTACGATAACCTGTGCAAGCGGTACGGCGAGGAGCTGCTGAACAAGGTGATCTTTATGCCCATCGTGAACGTCACGGACGCGACCACCTATGAAGAGGTGGAGCACATCTTCGCACCCCACCACGACCTGTACGAGATCAACTTTGAGAAGGAGAACGTGGCGATTTTGCAATACATCCGAAAGCTGGCAAAAGCCACGGGGGCGGTGCTGTGGATCAACACGATTTGGCCGACCACCTGCGGTGGCCACAGCGACGACCACGCACTGCGCAACAAGGAAGACAACTGGGGCTACGTCGCAGATCACATCGGCGCAGGTATCATGCAGACAGACCGACCGGCCATGCTGCTTGAGTACCTTAAGAACCGCGGTTCTCGTTAAGATGAGACAGCGCCTTTGCAATTTCGATATCTGCAAGCCGGAGGAGAAAGTAATGCTTTTTCTTCGGTTTTTAATAATGAGTTATCTGGCGATAAAGAAAAAGTCGTGACCCTTTTTTCTTCTTCTGCCCATTGCTGAATATGTGGAATTCACGTTCCTCCTCATTACAATCAAAGAAGAGAGATGCTGTGCTGTTTTGTGCTTCCTCCACATTACTCCCTCAACCCATTTTACACGTCGTCTGACATTCAACAAAATCAGATGCACCGACTCACGACCGTATTTTTTTTCTTTACCCTCACGACAGCTCACCGTTCTATTTCTCTCAGCGTTGCCGCTGTTAGCTGTTTGAAGCTATTGTGCTACTTCTACTTGACTCCACGTGCGTGTGTGCGCAAGCGTCGCAGCGACGTCGCGTAGCCTGCGCTGCAGCTGAAAAGAAGAAGACGAACGGTGGCATCGGAAGCACTCTAGTTTTTCTGCAGGACACACCGCTTTTTCGCGATGTTGGGTGCACCCCTTCAAAAGAAGAGAAGAAAGAAAAAAAAACCTTCAAATATATGAGGAAATAGTCTAAGCTCGAGCTTTTTTTCCCCTTTGCGCATCAATAGGAGAACATGAAGAGAGAGAAACGCAGAAGACTTTCCTAGCCCTACATGTCTTCTGTTACTTCGCTGTACAATCAAGCGACTTATTTATATATATATATATATATATATATATA